TATCACTAGAAAGCTAATATTGTTTAGAAAATAACTATAAAATTAATTTTTTAATTAAATAAATTTTTAAATGCTAATCTAAACAGGAAAGTTAGAACATACCTGAAGAAAAAGACAATAATCCCCCCTTGCGAGAAAACGCCGAGCAACGTGAGAGGAAGAGAGAAAAATAATATAAAAATGGGATTGTGAGTCCTAAAATTATATTAAAAAAAATTATAGGTTTGAATTTAATTATTCAAACCTTTGGGCCAAAAGTTGCAATTTCCTCTAAATTGCATCTTAGCCTCTCATGCTTCCTAATGCACACACCCCTCCTTTTTATACATGAAAGCACCTATTCTCTTCCCTCATCTAACCAATGTGGGACTTAGAAACAACAACCTTCCACCCCCCCTTTTTTTTTGTTCCTTCTACCTTCTCTTTTTTTTTAAACACACACATAAAAAAAATTATTTATGTATTATATCTTAACTAAATATTGCTTATGTGGTTTTAAATTTAAATTTTTAAATTCATAATTAAATACCTAATCATAATATTATTTCTAAATAACCTCAAATAATATAAATTCCTATTATTATCATTTTTTTCCTCAAAACCTAAATTCCACAAATTCTTTATTATATAAAAATTAGGATGTTACACATCACATGATCATTGGCGAGAGTTCGCTTAGGGAGAGGAGTAGATAGTTAAATTCGCGTGGTATTAGCAGTGATTGTTGGAATTGGGATGTAGCCCGTGTCCCATGATTGATTCAGGTTTGTCCCACTTGTTTTATGAGAGACTTAAATTTAAACTTAACTGATTTGTGAGAAGGCTACATTAAAGGTATGAAACCTCATGATTGTAAATATTAGGAAAAATTGTGTTACACAAGTGAGTGAGTTAACCCTAGCCTGGTAACTACTCACAAGTAGAAAGTTGGGTTAGTCCATAAAGAATGTAACTATTGAATAGCCACTAATTTCATATCGAAGATAACAGGAGGTTATAAAGTTATAATTTAATCATGCATTTCGACGACATGGTTGTTATTATTGTAGTCTGGTATGTGTTAAGAGCACATGGTTGATATTATTACGACTCCCATGATGTGCATTGTCATTTATGTGGTTATACGTGCGTTAAGCTCGGTCACATGATTGTTAGTATTGTGAACTATAGCTATATTCATCATAAGTGTTATATTGCATGATTTTGCCTATTTGTCTATGTTCTCAATTGATATGCAATTGTATAAATTAGGTAAAATTTGATTACTGAGTGGTTTTACTCATCCCTCAATTCTCAATATTTTTAGGCCTACCTCATTAGATTAAGAGTGGGAAAGCATACTGAGGTTTAGGATCTAGTGTAAATTCTATTTGTATGCCTCTTTACTTTGTTTTTATGTGTATTAAACTTGTTAATTTGTCAACTATGATTTACATGATTATTTTGGGAGCTACTTACATTACCGCTGTGTTAAACTTGTGTATTTTGTACCATTGATTAGAGTTTTGCTTTCAAACCTTGTATAAAGCTAAAATACTTGTACAAGTAGTGTTTTATGTAATCTTGAGATGATTGGAATGAAAATGAATCATTTATACAAAGTTTTCTTTTCTCTTGTGTTTTATGAAAATGTAGGGTTGAGTGATGATTTTTTATTATACATGTTTTTGACTGAGCGTGGTGCATGACACAAGTCTTCTAAAGTTCACTGAGTATGGTCAGATAGTTAGTGTAGGCTTTCGTCACTTATATGTAAGTTAGGACACAATGGTTGCAAATTTTAGTAAAAAAGTGATGAAAATAGGTTTTGGTATCCAACTCTTTGTAGAAAATAATTTTAAGTGTGAAACTTGTGCCATTAGCTAGAGTTAGAAGAAAGCTCTATGTAGACAATGAAACCACCTCAATCGGACATTAGACAAAAATTTAAGACATGTCAAAATTTTGCTGTCACTGTTGTCAAATGACAGCAGCTATTTGCTGTCAAATTGCATGCAATGTGCCGCAATGTATGGCACAGAGATGAGAGATGAGTGAGCCACGGCACACTGACATTTAGCCACGGCGCATGTCATGTTTTTCTACAAATCTTGGGATCCCATTATAAATGTTTTAAAACTCAATGTTTTTTATCCTAATCGAATCTCAAGCTTCCACATTGTTTTAAAGCTCTGATTTAAATTTAATGAAAGTGTTTAGGAGATTTATATGCTATAAATCTTAGGATCCTATTATAAATGTTTTGTGAATTGTCTCTTCCACTAGAATTTTGAAAAACTTTTTTCTCCCAAATGTGAATTATGAAAACTTGGTAATCCTTTATGGGTTTAGTTCTTTGATTATCTTAATTTCAATGTTAATGATGTTTATTGGGTGAGAATATGATAGTCACTATTATCTTTAATATCAATAATATTTGATTGTGCTTTATTATGAGTTGGCTATTTAGTGAAAAAATATCAATTTTTTAATTCAGGCTAGAGTTATTTTTCATTTTTTCAACCTTTCTACTCTTCTTTATATTCAAATCCTCTCTCTCCTTGTTTATTAAATATCAATGAATTATATATATAGGTTTAAACAGGCCGACACTCTATTTGAGCCTATTAAAATGGTCAGTTTAAGCTTGATTACCTATTAACACACCTAAATTTAAATGGACTTGGGGGTTTTTTTTTTGACTCTAGATATGTGAATATTGAGATCCTAGCTAATTTGTTATTAGATTTTTCAAAGGACCTGATAAAATCCATTCTTGATTCCACATTTCTAGATTTATATAGCAATATCTAGAATTCTTTATATTTAGGAATAAGGCTATATTAGCTCCTACATACATTGATAATGGTTGAAAAAGTAAATAAGTCCATGCTCCCTAACGATAAAGTTGTATACTTGAGCTTTGATAATACCGTGAAAGATGATGAAAATATGAATTCATTTGGAGACCCTTACTTTATAGATTTTCTAAATTCTATTTCAATGTTAGGCCTTCCAAATCATGAAATAAGGCTTGAAATGGGTGTCTCAATTATTTTAATACAAAAAATTGATAAGTTTATGGAGCTATGTAATGTTATACATCTAATAGTTATATGAATTTAAAAACATATTTTTGTGGCCCAAGAAACATTTAGATCAAATCAAGGGACAAAAATATGTATATTGCTTATTGTTGCATGCTGATTTGATTCTTGGTTGCCATTTATTATGAGGAGTTAGTTTTTTATTATGTTGTCTTTTCCACGATCATTAATAAAACTAAGGTAAGAGCCCGTGTCATGACCATTAATAAAACTAATAATCATTTCTATATGTCAATCAAAATTAAAATATAAGAAGGATAAGGATTATTTATTACTCCCTCCATCCCAAATTATATGACACTTTTAGATAAAATTTCACTACCAATAAACCTTATTAAATGCTCCCTTCGTTAAAAAATATAAAACATTTTTAATCGAATCTCACCCCCAATAAAGTAGCTACTTACTTTCAAATCAACTCTATCTTTTCATATTTACTCTTATTAAACACCCTATAATAAATATAAAGTCATTATCAATAGAGGCATTTTTTTTTAAAAAAAGGCAATAATTACACCTCAAAAGACTAAAAATATTTTATATTTTTGAACACTCAATTTCTTAAAAAATGTATTACATTTTGGAATAGAGAGAGTATACTTAACAATCTTATCTTTTCAAAATAAAAATATAAACTTTCAAAATATTCATTGTGTAATATATTGAAACAAAAGAGAAGAAAATTAATTATAGAGAGAGGAAGAGTAATATTGAAATTGGTACATTTAATGAAACCTCAATCTACTTAAAGTGTTTTATATTTTAAGATAAAAAACTCATTCAAAAGTGTCATATAAACGTATGTAATATTACATAATATTATATCAAGTTAGATTTATGTACTTAATTTTGTATATTTAATGTATTTTTATCCAGTCAAATCAAAATAATGAATTTTATTGTGTTAAGAATATTAATAATAAGAATTTTTTATAGAATAACTAATATTTAAAATATATACATATTTTAATTTAATTGAAAATAATCATTTTAAATCTATAAGGTAAAGTATATAAGTTTTTTTCTACTATACATTAATAAAAACAACCCTACAGAATTCTTGCAGAAAATTCCATAAATTCAACTAAACTAGCAAATAAAGTAATAAACTAATAAAATAAAAATATAAAATATGAGCTTGACAACACCTTAGCCTGCGCTAGACTTGATATTCTTTTACTTTCCTTAATTTTAACTCGATTCAAATAAGATAACTTGCAATATTGAGCTAATTAAGGGCATGCTTGAAAGTATATAATGAAATATAAAACAACAATAATGGCGTGAGATGTAGTACAATGAAATAGAATATTTTATTGTTTGGAAGTTTCATAATAAAAAATAACTATTTTATTTAACAATTATTTAAAAATCATTACAAAATCAGGGTTATGTTTTTCAGTATAATTATGTTTTTAAGTACCAGGGCGAGAAGAAATAAAAGAGTAAAAGGCGTGGAAAAGGTGAGAATATTTTTACAATAATATTATTTATATTAAGCTATTCCATTCTAACTTTCTAAATTAGGGTTAGAAAAAATAGTTTCAGGATAATTTGGAAGGCTACCAAATCATTCCACTCCCCTTAAAAAAATCATTCAAAACAATGACATAAAATTTTTAGTCATTTCACCTCATTCCATCTCATTAAAAAAAAAAATTTAAACAATAGCTAAGATCTGAGTTAAGATAAATACCCATGACCAAGCCGAGTGACAGGAATTTTAAGCATTTTTTTCATGGAGTAGTTATTATAAATAAAAACACTTTCTACGAAAGAAAAATATTTAAAGCGAAATATCAATTCAAGACAAAGAACAACAACAAAGCAAATTTGATCCAAAAAAAATTGAAACGTGGCAAATTTTAACGAGCCCAGAATTACTAATGACGAGGCCTCAAACAGCGAAACACGAGGCCGACACCACAGCACAGAGCCGGCACCCAGCGAACGTGGAATTGCTGCATGATTTTAACATGAATATAATTATTCCACCCCTACGGATAAAGCCATCAATATGTAATTTTCGCAAAATTTTGCCGAATTTGAAGCAAATCATTTTCCCCGTTCCTTAGCTGAATGGTAAGCTCCTAAGGAAGACGAAACCGGAAGTCGCTGCTCGGCTGCTTCTCCTTCATTTATCTGCTACAGATCAAAAGCTTGATTCCTATTTCCCCCCCGCTAGGCGATTACTTTCTCATTGGCGCCAACCGGTCTCGTGACGTTTCGTTGTTCCCACCGCTCCCACAGTCCGCAAAGTTCCACCAGGTTTTCGCCCGCATTTAAATTCGTTAGGGGCGCTTTGAAAATTTCGATTGTTTCTGCTTCCCTCAATTTTTTTTTGCCGTGTCATTGTAATCAAGGTTATTGTTGTTTGAGTGTGATGACGCTGGGGAAAAATCAGCGTTTCATTTAGGATGCACAATCATTAACTAGGATGCTTTAATATGGGACTTTTCGTTTGGGTTGCAAAATCGAGAAAGTTTATCAATCAATTGCGAGATAAAATCTGAGTGCAGGGTATTGTCTGCAAATGTATTGTCTTCTTACAATCTGCCACATTCATTATGGGAAAGGATAACACTCGTTAGAATTTCTTCATGCACTATTCAGGATCTGGATACTTACTATCAGCCTAATAGAGAATAATACTGTTGGATTGTCATTGTTCTATATTTTTCACGAAATGTATTTTGGTTGCGTAGGTTCGGCTAATTCTTGGTTGCAGTGTTCGGAGCACTTCTTTCTTTCTTTCTTTCATTTTTTAAAGCTGAATAAAGTTGAATAATTACATTATAGTATAAGGCCACGGTTCTCCTTGCAGGATGCAGCTGCAGAATACCGCACGTATAACCAACCTTAGTTATTGGTTAAACTGGAGGGTCTTACTGTGTTCAGCTTCAGTTTTACTGCCTATGATTATTGCATTGTTTATCATATGGAAGCGTGAAGGTTCACGCCATTTGACGCCTGGAAAAGGAGAAAACCAACAAGACGGGAACCGGATTTTATGTGGTGATGAAGCATGGAAACCATGCCTAAAAGAAATTCACCCAGTCTGTTTGCTAGTTTATCGAGTTGCTGCATTCTTTTTGCTTGTGGTGACGTTAGTAGCTAAAATTCTCACTAACACCAGTGCCATTTATTTATACTACACTCAGTAAGTCATGGTAGAATATTGATTAAGCATCATGATTGGAGTCAAAATTCACTTATGATGTTTTTGACATTCTTCGTACTTTGGAAAATATATTTTCCATTTCTATCCAAACTTAATGCTAACTTTTGTTTATGGTTGTTATGGATTTCTTGCAGGTGGACCTTTACTTTAGTTACCATTTATTTTGGGGTACATCCCTTGCATTCTTCTTATAAGTCTTCAGTTGAATTAGAAACAAAGTTGACCTTTGATGAATATGTATTGCATATAATGTATATATAATTTGTGGTGCTAGGGCAAAAGCTTTCACAGAAAGCATAATTTCTGAAGTCTTCACATATTTGAATCTCACACCTTGTACTTTTCTGTAGTGTGCATCTATGATCTCTGTGTATGGGTGCCATCAGTTTCAAAAATCAAGAAGGAGCACCTTTAATTTTAATTTTGCTGGAACAGATGCAGAGCAAGGGTCAAGGACACCGCTCTTGCATCAGAATTCTACAAATCTGTCGTGTGAAAATCGAGTTATAGGCATTTTGAGTTATATTATTGAAGTTCTATTTCAGGTAGCTTGATTGCTTTGCTTTCCCTCATATTTGCTTGTTATTTTTTCCTGTGTCCGTACTTCCCATGACGTTTACAAGTGTGGCCTCATCTTCTATCCTTTCTTCCATCTCTTTTCACCCCCCCCCTCTCGGTATATGCTTGATTTTGCCTAGCTTGTTCAATTCATTGATTTTTATGTGCTCAGTATTCCAGGTGCATATATATTCCATTTAGCTTCCATTTATATTTCTTTATTTAACTATATCTCTAAACAGACGAATGCAGGGGCAGTGATGCTTACAGATAGCGTATATTGGTTCGTTATATTCCCATTTCTCACCATCAAGGATTATGATTTAAGTTTTGTGAGTACCAAACCGTAAAAAGTTTCTTTACTGTTACACTCTTACGCTTTCGTTGCTCTTGGTTTGCAATAGTGGTTGATTGTTTCTTTTTCTTGGTGGTTCATAAAGAATGCAACAGATTTTGGAACATAGAAAAGCTAAAAAATTAATTTTTTTTTTTTGCTTTTGGGGCAAAAACACATGCATCAAATATAGCATCATTTGATATGTATAAAATGAAGCACAGAGCCTAACAAAAAGCAATAATAGTCATATATAGAATATTTAATTAATTTTATTGCATCAGGCAGGTATCCATTATTTTCCATTTTCAAGATTCATCTGATCGATCTTCTCTTGTGTAGATGACAGTGAACATGCATACACTGAATGTTGTTTTGCTTCTTGGAGATACAGCTTTAAATTGCCTGGTGAATATTTTCAAGGCCTTTATTCTCATTGTTTGGGGTAATTGCTCAAGGCTGACGCTAAATTAGTGTGACCTACACCTTTCAGCAACTGCCCTGGTTTCGGATCTCTTTCTTTGTGCTATGGACTGGCGCTTTCGTCATTTTTCAGTGGATTCTTCATGCTTTTGTGTCAATTTGGTAACTTTCACTGTCCTTCTGCATGTCAAACCTCAACACATTTATTTATCTAAGAACATATTGACAATCTTCTTACTGCAGGTGGCCATATCCGTTTCTTGATTTGTCATTACCCTATGCTCCACTATGGTATGGTATCTCACTCTTTTCAACGACATTTGGATATTGTCAATTCAAACGGTATAACATTAGCAAGTGCAAAGCAAGGTTATATAAATTACCTCTAGATATTGGCATATTATGATCACAGTTGACAGCCAGAGTTCTCTTTATCACGATGGCTTGGCTGTCCAGATTCAATATTTTAACATCTCAGGGGTAGTTTTGGGGGAAAGGGTACCGCCTTATGGTTAAGGTTTTTTTGTGAATGATGGCGTAATTTTTTTTCCTTTTAGAAAAAAGGTTAAAAGTGCAAACTTTGATTAAAATCAGCGATAAATTTACACAAAAATTTCCAGTTTCTCTACTTTCCTTTTTTGTTGTAATCTTTACAATGCTAATCCTATTGGTTTCTGGTGAATGGCAGGTACTTTGTAATGGCACTGATGCATATTCCATGTTATGGCTTGTTTGTGCTGATTGTCGATTTGAAACATTATTTTCTGTCAAAATGGTTCCCTTCCTCTCATCAACGCTAAAGATTGAGATTTTGAGAGTGTTTCTAGGATGGCCGCCTCCAAACTGAATTCAGCTTTCCTCACTGCAGAGTGCATGGATGAGTTCTTTTACGCACTCTTCCTACAACAAAGGATCATATAATCAAACAAATTACTAACATTCATTCAATATAATACTTGAAGCTTCCAAGAACTGAATTTAACGCTTCTAACAAGCCAACTTTTTTTTAAAGCAGACGTTGAGAATAATTTGCAGGAGCAAATTGGAGGAACAGCTTGTTTGTCCTGGTACTTTTCTTCCTTTCCTCTGTTGGATCCACGGTCGCAGGTGTTCTTGCTTGTTCCCTGTAGATGACTTGGTGATAATTTGTTTAGCCATCGACTTCTCTACAATATGAGATCTCTCTGTCCATAGTTGTCCTTAGATGGAAACAAAATAGGATGAGCATGGTCACTTTGGGAATTTCAGACATGTATAATGTTGAGAAAAATTATTGTTGCTATATATGTACTGTAATATTTGCCGTATTTGGGAAGCAAAAGTTGCCGAGCATTGAATCTGTTCTTCCTTTTGTGTTCTTTGGAAAATACGATGTCATTTATAAGGGTGAATGCCAAGTTCACTAAACTTCCTGTCGTCCCGTTTTTCACGAGCCTGCTAGTGCCCAGCTTGTTTTGAACTAGCTTGGACGACGGTTTATACTCGTGCTTTGCTTCTCAATCAAGCAAAATGAAATTGAAACAACTTGGAACTTACAAGATTACTAGTTTTATTGAGCTGGACTCTACTTTGTTCAAAATTTAAAATGAGCCTCATTGTTCATTTTTTCTTTTATTAATGACACGGCTTCCATAGCTTTCATCTCTAGATGGCATTTGAAGATCATTAAGATAAAATTTAATTTTCAAAGTTGATTTAGTATTCTGTACTTATGTTTTATTGTCTTTTGGGAGGGACATGGAGTTGTGGAATACCCTTTTCTTTCTTTCTTTCTTGCGAAAATAAATTAAAGACGTTTATATATATATATATATATGCATGCTTTTACTATATACCCACCCGGGCGCGCGCATTATTATCACCCACAAAAACCTTCTCCAGAAACTTCCTATTTTAGACTTGGCTGGGTGCCTTCCTCTTCAAAATAAGTGTCCTCGTCTGTGTTTACTATGTATCAATAGACATATACAGTACGATGCACAAATACACACCACCCATAATTAGCAAAGCCAATCCCCAGGGTGAAGCTTTTTCTCTTTTAAGTTTCATTTTTGTCAAAAACTATTTTTCTCGGAGTATTTATTGTCTTAAACTTTGTCATAATAATATCACTTTAAAGTAATTAAATCATAGCAATATCATCCCTAACATAAAATGAGCACACATTAACTGCTAACTTGACTGACTTAAAAATAAATTTAAGTTAAATCGAGTAATTAAATCGTAACAATTTTATCCTTAAACATTATTATAATTTAATTACTTCAAGAATGATTTTACTGGCCATGACAAAAAAATTATATAGGTAACCGAATACAGAATTAATTAGATATAAAATTTTTATTTTATTAGATTTGAATAAATATAATCTTTAAAATTATTAGGTTATCTTTTTAAATTATTTTAGCATATTTTCATTCAATTATTATGATTGATAGAAAAGATGTTCCAACGGCTACAATGAGGAAAATAAATTAGAGTTTCAAGGATTATTATGCATAATCCAAAGTCCCACCGGACAGTTGAACCTGTTCCTTATTATAGTAGTTAATATTGATAACTACATGACAGCTTTTGCGCTCCTTTCAAGTAGAAGTAGCAGCAGCAAGAGCCCCAGCCGAAGTTAGCAAAGATACCAGCTTCCCTTGATTGTGCAATGCAGTTGTGTCTTCATAAAAGCAGAAAATTATTAAGGTTAACAAGTACATGAAATGAAATTTAATATTACGAAGCTTCTGTTTACTTCAGTCGGGATCTTCGGGAATCAATGTCAGGGCAAGTTCAAAGAGAAAAGGACAGGGATGTGAGTCTTCACACCTGCCTTTCTTCCTTCCTCTTTCTCGGAACTTCCTCTAAAATAACTAAGAAGATCTGTTACAGAGTTTATTATCTATAAAGGAAAATAAGGAAGTTTAAATCTTACCATCACAACCACCGATGTGATTTCCTCCAATAAACACATTTGGCACTGTTCGTTGACCTGTCCACTCAGCTAATGCAGATTGAATCTCACCTCCATCACCTGCACCATGGCCAACCATTCTTATGAGCCGATTACCAGAAGTGAGAATAAAATAACGGGTAGAAAAAACAGTGGGTTTGAAGACAGGTAAAGTCAGCAGTAAATTGTAGAACTTGATAACACCTAGGTGAAAACACTACCCTTGTGATATTTATAGTGAAAAGCAATGCTGAAAGTCACCTTCCCAAGGCAAACTAGAGTACTTCTGGTAATATGCAGGAGTGGTACAGGTTACCCAATCATTCAGAGACTGAAGGTGCTAGGGGGCTCAAACGTGCAGAAAATATCCAGGTGCAACCAGCAAATTTGCGGTAACATGCAGAATGAATTTTTCTTTTAGGGGTTTAATTTTGCATCTCTAATCTCAAAGGCTCCTTTTAGAGCAGACAGTGAGATCACTGAAATTCAAGAACGACCACATAGGTTTCTTTTAAACAACATTATTACACACGTAAAAAATTACCAGCGTGCCATAAAAATCAATTTCAAGTAAAATACATAAAGAGTTCTAAAGGCAATTAAAACAGAACAAGTAGTAGGCATGATGTATACAAGTTTATGCTTAAAAGTGTGTTTTTCTTGATGGTATCGTGCATACAATGTATAACTTATAACCGATTGAGAGAAGTATCCTTTCAAACTATTTTACATCTTCAACTTCTTGCTATAGAGTTTACTCTCTGATGCTAAATCATAAAGCTATATATACTGTCATCCAGGTATGTATATGCTTAAAAACCACGATCACATGTATCTGTAATTCTTCAAAACCAAGCTGGTTTTGCATCAACTAATTTCTTCCATGGAGAACTGCCAAGCAGATTTTTGAAAAAAGGCGTGCACACAAAAGCACCAAACAGAACTGTATTTGATATTTTGCGGCCTTACCAAATGAATTTCAAAGATATTAAATCAACAGAAAGAATGCATTTAAACATCGATAGAAAGAAAGTCAAATCCGTGAAACCATCGTCAATATTGGAATAGTTTGTAATACTGGTGAGATTCAATGTCTTGCATTGGAGAGAAAACGAAACATGTAAGATAACTAGACAAACGAGAAGCCTTCTTTGAATGCTCAAGATAATTGATTTGAATGACTTGAACCTGGAATCAGGGCTTACTAGATAAATAGAGGACTTCTGAATCATTTGAAAGGATTTGATTTGAATGATTCGCACAAGATAATTCACGAATCATTTGAAAGGATTCATGAATTACAGAAAGGTACAACTATTCACATGAAAATGTGTCGTAACTCTTAAAGACGGTTTTTGAAAGACATTTTTCAAAGTCTAAATACCAGTTTTCAAGAGGCTTTGTTATGTTGAGAAACCATTATTAGTGATCCTACTGAACAGTGAACACTCCACTCCTTAAAAGAGACAATGATTATTCACGCCTCGAAGCCTATTTTCTTCTTATCGTACTGCATATTTCCCTAACACTAAATCAAATGAAACATACCGACAGAAAACAGGAATCATGTTTATTTAAAATAAATAGATGGCATAGTGAAACAAAAGAGGAATCATGCTAAAAGGGGAAAAAGCACATGGCCGAGCAAATAAAATAATAGTGCTTACTTTGAGAATCGAGCTCAATGACCTTATAGTTGGCTCCCAGTTTAGTCAAAAGCTTCTTCACATCAACGCAGAACGGACAATACGATTTGCTGTAACAACCAACCATTCACAGAAATTATTTCGGAATTGGCATCCGCGCACAACAATCTCGTGCAAAAGAGAAAATGACGAGAGAGAAACCTGAAAACGACGACGGGGTTCGACGAAACAATCTCCTTGGCTTTGGGCAGTGCCGCCATGTTTGCGCCTATTATCTCGATCGGAACCCTTCCTTCTTTCTCTTTGCGACCCGAACCACTATTTTAACTCGCAGTTATGAATTACTATGATAAATGCTTCCGCGGCCGAGGTTATTTATTGCAGCTGCCAACCGCGTGCATCGTTTTCCTCCGCCAGTATCTTTTTTTGAGCAAAAACAAGTCATTTTGTTAATAACCAAAAACCAATATTACACGCAAAATATCAATGTATGTATATGTATATATCATCACCGAACACTTTGGTCAACTGGCAAAGAGTGATCCTAACTTAATTAAAGATTTTAAGTTTAAATTTTTAAAAATGTAGCCAATGTGGTAAATTTTCTCGAGTGATACTTACCCCACATTTGTGAACTGGATACTAGATGCTCTCATGCAATATATATATATATATATATATATTGGTAATCTATATCAACACTTTTTTTAATATAAAACGTCAATGTCCCCACGTGTATATTATCAAAATCTTTTTTTGGCCAGAGTTTATACTATCAAAATCAAAGCTAGAACGAATTACACCTTTTATAATACAAAAAAAAAAATATTCAATCTATGTGAATACTATGGAAAATAAAAATGCCATTAATTGTTATGTTGGTTTATAAAAAAACATCAAACAAAGAAATTGTAATATCAATCAATGGATTGACTAAAGAAAATCAATCAATATATTAATATAAAATATAATCTTTTCGTTTTAAAATATAAGATATTTTTTAACTAAATATCACCTCCTAATAAATTTCTTACCTACTCTAAAACTAACCCTATCTTTTTATATTTATCACTATTAACTACCTTATAATAAAGTTACCATTAATAGGAACACTTAAAAAAAAAAAGACAATAATTACACTCAAAAAACTAAAAATGCCTTACATTTTTTAACATCTAACTTAATGTATGCTTACATTTCTTACCTTACATTTTTGAATGAAGAGAGTATAAATTAGGAAATGGCACAATTCAAAATTAATGATTTAACGATTCTTTCAATGTAAATGGTTATTTTTTTCTAAAAAAAACTATAGTAGATGATTTTTATGACTATATTTATGTATGCTTAAATTTAGCATCATTCCCCCCTCGAGGGGAGACTGACACCATATTATTAAATAATTATTATGGAGAACATTTAATTGAAAATGATTCTAATTAGTTATATTTTTAAGTTGGAAAAATTACTATGAGGTCCCATGAAATCATTCAAAATTCACAAAAATTCCACAAAATTATCAAATGACTGTCAAGTTTTAAGAAATTTAAAGAATGTTTGGTTGGAGGGAAAGGGAGGGGAGAGAAGGGATTTTGTCCCCCCCTTTGTTTAGCTTTAAAATTTAGCCTCTAAACCCTCCCCTCCAAATTTGGGGGATTGAAAGGGGAGGGGTAAAATTTGTCACACCTTGACCAATATATCCTTCATGATAAGTTCAAAAAATACAAATGCGCTTCTCTAGTATCTAAACACTAATAAAATGAGGATAAAATTACCATATATAATTATTTTCTTCCCCTCTCCTCCTAAACCAAACATTGTAATATCAAACTCCTCACCTTTTCTCCATTAAAGTCCCTCCCCTCCGTTCCATTAAAATCCCTCCTTTCTCTCGAACTAAACACACCCTTAAAGGTAAATAAGTTTAAAAATACAATTACCAAAATGCTCATTTTATTAAAATACAAGGAAATCACTCTGTTTCCACCACTTACCCACTAAAACCTACCCATGACACTTGAAACTCAAAAAATTGCCTTGTAACCCTTAAAGCTCATTGCCAACTAAAGCTAGCTATAACATTATATTACACTTGTGTCATGTTCTCGTCGCAAACCATGACACTCAAAACTTTGAAACTCACCTTTCTTAAACTTTGAAACTATACACACCATCGGCGGCTTAACGGTGACAAAAATTCATTCAACTTGTTTGATCAACCTATTAAACTTATTCAACTGGATCCATTATACATGCTCAACCATAATGGTAGGTCATTTTTGCCTATCCCTATTGTTGTGCTTGTAAATGCTTGGGGTTGTAATAAAGAAATTAATTTGAAATGTATAAAGAAATTTAAAATTCCATGCATTTGGGATTTTGATTTATATATACGAATTTGAAGTTGTTAGTTTGAAAATTTATCTAGGAGAATATTGACTACTTGGTTGTCATCTTCCATAGCTCTACTCAGAGCTAGTAATTTCAGCTAGCCTATACCTACTCAAAAATTTTTTAGGGTCGTGCATAAAAAATGAATTTTTTGTTCAAATTGAAAAAAAATCAATCCAAGCTAGATCGAGTTTGGGATTGGCTTGAGTACCCAAATAATTTTTTTAAATATGTAAACTATAATAAATATTAATTAATTCTTTACATTTTAGATCATTTTATACTAAAATACTATATATTTAAGTTTTATACATCATTTAAATATTCAAATTTTTATAAAATAAAATAATTGATTTTAAAATAAAATTTACTTAAAACTAATTTTAAAAAATAAAATTAAGGTATTCAGGCCGAACTCAAATAAGCCTAACTCATCCGAATTCCCAACTATAGCTCTACTTCTAGACTATATGACGTAGCTTGTGAAAAAAAATCCACATTGTTGTTGTACCTTATAAAACTAAATTGTGGTGCTGGATGATCTCCAAGAGAAGAAGGTAGAATGCTTATAGTGGCTATTGAATCATTGTAATAACATAAAGGAGAGCGAAGCTATATCCTTGTTAGAAAAATCCCAAGAAAGCAAAAAGAGGAAATGAAAAATATACGAGTTAAGTCATGAATTGACTTTAGAGTGGAATTTATTGATAATCATATACTTTTGTATAGTTAGTTTGTTTTGTATAGTTAACTCAGTAAATGTTGTTATGAATGCTAATTACAAGTTTGTTAATGTGGCAAACAGTGTTTGGCAAGTGGCCAACAATTATTGACAAGCTATATGTAGCAATTTATTAGATTACAAAATATTATGGGTTACAAGGTTCTATTGATAACTTGCAGATGGTCATTGATTACAAGGTGTCAATTTATTAACAAGTTAGACATTGGCCATTGATAAGGGCAAATATATTAGGTGTAGTAATTTTCTTTAAAAATGAACAAGTTAAAAAAATATGTTGACAACTTATCAAAAGTCATTGGCTATAGGGCGATAGATATTGATAAGTTAGGCATTATCCATTAACAAGTAACAAAAGTTATCAAAATATGAATTTCTTTCAAAAGCACACTTGTCTCTAATATTTTCTAACGTGGATTAGAATTTTTGTAAGTTTTGGAAGCATAACCAATCTCATGACATCTTTCATAATGATAAACCTTTTATCTTGGAGGTGTTGATGTAGGTATTCTTTGTATTACACATGCCAATTGTGAGTCTTCAATCTCAGGATTGATAGTTGGTGAAAATAAAGAGTATCCATCTAAACATCCCAATAAAATATCAATCATGTATTCAATGACACATTAGTAATCGTACTTTTCAACATTATTTACATTATTAAAAAAAATGAGACAACTTACACATATTGATCCTCCATTATGTAATTTGTAGATGCTTATATTGTATCATTTTTATTTGCAACTACATATGCATATATACTTTTTAACTATATCAAATGTTTCACTTTATTATCATCAACTAGATCTACAAGTATGCTTGTATCAATGCTAACTGTGAATTTTAATTGGATTACACTGCTTTTATCCCTTATAATTGATTATACCATTTGTATTAACTCTTCATATGTCATCCCTTGTTTTATTGTTTTTGTTTTTACACCCCCTCAACATATTGCATATTTTCTTAGTCATCATTTTGAAAATGTCTCTCTTTATGAAAAAAAAACATAATATATGTTTTTAAGAAAAACTTGTCATTTTATAAGTCAATCTGTGCCACACATAGTGTATTAGCAACCACCCATAGTATAATGACAATGCACAAATAAACTGTTGACAAAACACAATGTTATTATATAACAAAGACTTTTCAACATATCAAGGTTGAACCAGATACTTGGGAATCATTTATAAAATTAATGTCCCTTTGTATAAAAAAACATAATATATTTTTCTATAAAAATTTTTTATCCTATAAGTTAACCTGCACCACACATAGTGTACTAACAACTACATATAGCATAATGACAACACGTGCATACATTATTGACAACCAATAGTATTATTTCATAATAAAAAATTTTTAATAGATCAATCTTGCACCATATACTCGGGCATCATCTATAAAATATCCCCTTATATAAAAAAACATAACATACTATATGTTTTTTAAAAGAACTTGCTATCTTACGAGTTAACCTACAAAACACGGTGTATTGGCAATTGCCTATAACATAATGACAACACAAGCATATTGATAATGCATAATGTAATTTCATATCAGAGATCTTTCAATATATCAATGCTGTACTAGATTCTCTTATGCCTATTAGCTATGCAAAACGAATGAAAACTAATGAAGTCATCATGACACCTTCAAACAATAATGAAATTATTAACGCACAAGAATCATTCATTAATGTAAAAGTCATTTACCTACTCAGCAATCATTATACATTTTCTCTTGATGAAGTCTTGCAGTTGTAGACTATGGACACCCAAGTCGCTCAGATGAAGACAAAGGAGGTGGTCATGGATATGAGGAAGTGAAAATTACCCTACACTGATCAACAATAATAGATATTTGGCAATCATGAATGCTGACAATCTTCAGTATTATTGACCATGAATTATGTGAATGTGTGCATGCAAAAAAAAAATTCTTTAATTCCAAGGGTCAAATTGATTATTGCATTTTTAAACTTATCCATCCTCAAGTTCTTAAGAACCTGTTAGCTATTTGGTGATTTTACAGGACTTTAGGGTATTTTAAATACTCCTATGGGATTTCATAGTGATTTTCCCTTTTGAAGTTTGAAAAATGACACACACACACACGTCCAACAGCATGAGCCTTACCCCTTAATGCCCATTGCAAGCTTTAAACTGGATAGGAGAATTATGTTAGAAGAGCGTGTGTGCAGATTGGTTAGGTACATGAATTCGTAAATGGGAGTTGAGTATAAGATTAATAGAATAATTAATAATAATGGGAGTTTCATGGGAGAAGCCAAAGAGGTCAGGGAGATGGGCAACCACACCTCTATTCACCACATATTGATTGATCTTGCAAGAAAATAGAAACTTATTTCCTCTCTATGAACAAGTGAATTTATTTGATCATATATTTGTGAGTTTTAGATTTAAATTGCAACAAGGGGTTTAACTCTTAAGAAATTTTGAGTAGATTAGGTTCATCATGTTATTTGTAGTCTATTCAATTAAAATGTTTAAAGTCATTTGAATAAAATCTTACATGATATTATTTTAATTAATTTTATTTTTATAATATAATACATTTTTAATTTATTGCATTTTCTCTCTTTAGTATCATTGATGTCGGAATTAATGTATATTTAATGTCACATGAATATCATGTTTTTATTAAATGATGAATGTCTCATAAATCCCAGATGCTTTCCATGTCCGATCAGATATTGATGCTTAACATAGAAAAGACGAGAGAGTCTCTCGCACAATGTCAATCAAGCTTTGTGAATGGCAGTGAATTAAATCACTCAACGGCTAGCCCAACTGACTATGTCAAACCTGAAATAAATATTACGATATTGTCATCGTGCCAATGGGATAATGATCTCCTAGGTCCCAGATCCTCATATTTAATTTAAAATTCCAATTATGACCTTGATTATGGACCCTATTTATTAACTTCCATTAAAAAAAAAAAACACACACACACACACAATTATTCATTTCTTCTCATGTTGATGAGTCAGCATTTAATGTTTCTCATCACTGAAATACACAAGTGCTTGTAGGTTCCCAATTCCCACACGTGAACTCTAATTGATGATAATAACAAGCTCTTGTTAGTAGCGCTATTGATTCACATCCCCATTCACTGCATTTCATTCGGGTATCACATAACTACATCATGCTTTCCTTGACGTGAAAGTTACTGTTCCTTTAATATGAAAAATAGCCATCGAGAGATTAATTCATTCATTTTCATGCTATCGAGCTACTCTAACTTTCACCTCAACTTCACGATTTTAAATATTTTCATGGATTGGTACCTTTTTATTTTTTGAATTAAAGTGACATGCACTAATAGTCTGAAATTATGGGCGGGATAGAACTTATAACCTTGAGCTGGGCTTTGGGGAATAAAATGATATTCTCAGGGGATAATTTTGCCGACATCTATCTTTTAACGAGCAACTATAACAAAATTTCAAATAAGCGCCATAGCACAATGCCTGTCCAATTTGTAGCATTGTACCTCGTCACTGACGTTTTATCCTTCTCACCATTTAGCGTGAAATGAGTCGTCAAAAATGTTATTTGTTTTATTGGGGAAGTTGTGAGGATGATTTTATTGTCAAATTTTAAATATTAATATTTTTTTTAGACGACTTAAAGTGTAATAAACATGTCTGATTAACTTAAATGTCTAACAATTTAGCACTTCACTCATGTAGCTATGCTGTTCTCCTTTTTAATTATTACATTCGCATAAAATATGTAGTTATGTTATTCTTACTAATTAAACTAACCTCACGTAGTTAGGAAACATTGTTATTGCGATGTTATTCTTAACAGCTCTAAATACGCACACACATCTTTTGAAGTAATTATTCAAATCATAAAATAAAAAGTTATAATAAACAACCCAAATTAAGGTTAAACAATTTAATTCATGTCTTCATTTTATTTTTCAACAGAAAATTTTTATTTTCTTGACAAAAAAAACACATGCTTTTTAAAAACAATAAAATCGACTATGAAGAATAGCTCAAGCTCAAACACTTCACCAACTAAACTATTTTTTTTATCAACAGAAAACTATCAATGTTAATATCACTGAGAATACTATATAAACGCATATATATGATTTATACAAAATTATATTATACTATTTCAATGAAAATTTAATTATTTAGTTTCTGTAATCTTGACTTAATTAAAATTCAGTTACTGATCTCAACCTAGTGTAACTTAATCCCTGTAGTTTTAATTAAAATTATATAGATGCATTATTTTTTTTTAGAAAAAAATTTTACGACTCAAATAACTGCATGATGACTTTTTGTCCCCCCAAAAAAAAAATAAAAATAAACGAGCGTAAAGGAAACTTGCGACTCACTCAAGCGTCAAGCCTCTCCACCCTTCCAACGGTAAAAGCGGCCCAGCCCAGCGTAGCGGCATAAATGTTACCTTCCCACGGCCTGGCTCTAAAACCCTAAACCCTACTCGGTTCCGAGTGCCAAGCTTCTCAACTAAACCCCTCTTCCCACTCTCACTCCATTTCCCTTTCTTCGGATCACCATGGCGTGTGTGAGAAGCAGGGCCAACCCACTCCTCGCCACTCTCCCTCACTTCCTTACATGGCGAAACTTTGGGTTCCGCACTGTTTGCTGTGGACGTCTCGGCTTTTCTACTCAATCCCAGCTCGATCCTGACCCTCCCATTGCTGGAACTAAGGTCCTGGACGTCTTCAAAGAAGAATTTGAAATAGGATCACGGTTGATAACTCTTGAAACTGGCAAGATTGCTCGATTCGCGAATGGTGCTGCTGTCCTGGGTATGGGCGAGACCAAGGTTTTGTCCACAGTTACCTCGGCTAAAGGAGATACTGGTCGTGATTTCTTACCCCTCACTGTACGTCGACACGCTCATTTACGAGTTTGATGTCCTCACCCCCATTATCTATTAATCCTCCTCCTTTCCATAGAAATGGGTACTGTATGAATTTAAACATGGAAAAAAAAATGCTCTCGTAAATATGCTTTCTGTAATTTAATTTTTATTTTCATCATGATGAGAGTGGGTTATTCTGATATGTAGTTATTTAGGGAGTGGGGTTCTTTGTTTCAAAGTCATGATTATATCACCAGAATATAGCAATGCCCCAGCGACTCGGCCACTTGCAAATAATTCAAATTTTCGAAATCAAAATAAACGCCCGACTTTTCACTATGCATAAACTTTCCTATTTTTCCTAATAATCCACGTCATTTCTAGAGGAGTTTGAAGTGGAAAATTCTTGGTACCTTCGATACACCAGGTCAGTCATATATATTAACTAGTAATATAATACAGAGTTACACAATTATGTCCTTTAATACAGATAGATAACACATGGGTGCCTATTTTGTTTTGATAGTCATGGCTAACTTGCAAGTGCCCCCCGGCAAAGTTGAGTTTGCTTTATTTTCCCTATTATTAATTAATACATATGCACATATGTGCCTATTTTGGCTATAGGCCCATATTTGTGTTCACTGTTTCATACTTCACGAATAAGTAGAGCTGGGAATATCTATGTTCATCGTGTGTTTGCTGGAATATTTTCAAATTTTAACTTACCCTCGACAGCCACTATCAGTACTATTTCCTAAAAGAACTGCTATCTTTTAATGTCTTGCTTACTCCAAAGCTGGAAGTTACTCTGCTGTATGTAGAATTGAATAAATCGAATTTAAAGATACAACTGGAACATTCCAGCTTTAACATATTTGCTTGATAAAAAATATACACTGTTTACTTTGATAGAATACAAAGATCATTGTCTGGAAAGAATAGCACTTGCAGCAAGGTATATCATCTAAGCCTCTATACTTGAATACAGAGTCCTTATTATTTTTGGCTATACATCATTGCATTCCATTTTTGAACGAATAGGTATCTAGAGCCTTTCTTGGTAACCTTTCTGCTTATATGTATTGATTGGAAATCACTTGCTCCTTTGTCTCCATCTTATCTCAGTCCATGTGGGGACACACAACATTGATCATTGTGTTGATGTTTATAACATTTCATTTCTTATTAGGTTGATTATCAAGAAAAGCAGTTTGCCCAAGGCTTAATTCCAAGCACGTACATGCGGAGGGAAGGTGCCCCAAAGGAACGTGAACTTTTGTGTGGTCGCATTATTGACCGACCAATTCGACCACTATTTCCTGCTGGATTTTATCATGAAGTTCAGGTATTTTGCTGTTGATTAATTAATTCTTGTTCATTCACATTTCATCCATTTACTCATTTGCTAAGTACTCCTTTCCACCAAAATAATCTGTTTTTCCTAGGTAATGGCAAGTGTTCTTTCTTCTGATGGAAATCAAGATCCAGATGTACTGGCAGCTAATGCTTCATCTGCTGCTCTTATGTTATCAGATATTCCTTGGGGCGGCCCCATAGGAGTGGTTCGTATTGGAAGGATAAGCGGGCAGTTTGTTGTAAATCCAACCATGGATGAGGTAGTTTATAACATCTATTGTGTTGTTGGTTATTTACAGATTTAAATTGGCAAATCATCCCTTGTTTTATATATCAACTTCTATGTGGCATTGCGGTGGTTTGTACTGTTGCTGTAAATTCAACCATGGATGGGGTAGTTTTTGACATTCGGTTATTTACAAATGGAAATAGTTGGTAAAAGTATCCCTTGTTTTATTGCCACTGGCTTCTTCTATGTGGTATCACGCTGGTTCACACAGTTGTTGGAGAAGAATGTGTATTTTTCTCCATCAAATTGCATAATATTGTATATTCTTATGTTTTGCTATAAGTTCTAAAGCACTCAAAAATATTTTTTAGCTATAGTGCTGCAGTTCAAGAAATCTAAATCTAAATCTAAAATATATATATATGTGTGTGTATGTATGTATTTATGTTACATCATGGTTCCATGTGCTAATAGCAGTGGTTGGTAAACTACATTACCGTTGGCTTCTTCTATTTGTAACATGCTGTTTTGCGTGTTTGGTGAACAAATATTTTCTCATCTACGTTGCACAGTACTTTTCTTAATTTATCTTGAAAGTTTAAACTTTAAAGTAGTTGGCTAATATTTTTTAGGTGTTTTGTCGTGTTTCAAAAAATTTAATTTATATCGTGTCTTGGAATTCTAGAAATTAATAACAATTGTCAAAGTCTAGAAGATGTTGCTTGATAAATAACTTGCTTAGAAGCATTTGCCTTTTCAAATTTTATTTAGTTTGATATTCTTTGGATTTACTTGTAATCAGATAAGGTAGGGGAGGAAAAGAAAGAAGTACTTGAGGAGAGGATAAAAATACTCTAAGATTGTAACCGGATTAAGTAGCCTGTGTGCCTGTGTCTTTAGGCCTGCATAATCGCTCACATACCCTCATAAGAAAAACTTAATAAATAGAAGACTAAAACAAGCAGGAAACAACCCATCAGGTCAGTAAGGCTTGCCAATTTCAATGCATACCCAGCAGAAAAGCCCCTCAAGAATAGCCGTTAGCTGTGCATTTCAAAGAAGTCAAAAGCATCGCTTTATGCCCCTGAAGGCATCTGCCAAATTTATGGCTTTTCTTCTCTGCCATATGCTCTAAGTAACAGCATAATTGCACACTGGTGAAGAGCTTTGCCCTTTCACTGGAAAAAAAGAGCTTTTGCCTTTGATTATCCTCCTAAAACAAATGTGCATATCTTAAAGTGCGTCAATTCTCTGTACAAACTGGATGCAATTAGAGAAACACATTTTTCAAGCATTGGGAAAGAGAACTTTGCCTCATTGCAAGCTCTTTTCATTGAGAACATCAGGAAGGACTGTAATGTTTGGCATTGTTAATAAGTATACTTGACTGATTGTTTCAATACCTTGCCATTTTCTTATTGGCTCTCTTTGTGGTACTGCAGCTAAATTTAAGTGATCTAAACTTGGTGTATGCCTGTACAAGGGACAAAACTCTGATGATTGATGTGCAAGCTCGCGAAATATCTGAAAAAGATCTAGAGGCTGGATTAAGGCTGGCTCATCCTGAGGTGACTCCAAAGCTTGTTATTTGCCTGTCTCCTTTTGTAATTGAAAGTTATTGAGATCTGTTTCTCCAACTGTTCAGGCAGTTAAGTATATTGAGCCTCAAATCAGACTAGCTGCTAAAGCTGGTAAATCTAAGAAGGAATACAGATTGTCCATGCTGTTAGACAATACACTGGAGAAAGTCAGTAACTTGGCTGAAGCACCTATTGAAGCTGTTTTTACTGATCCTAATTATGGAAAGGTGTTCTTGCATGCTCCCTTTTTCTTCTCTTGCTGTGCTTTTCATGCTTTGGAAGTTTATATTTGTTGCTCTATTGCCATGTTTATGATTTTTTTTTTATACCCAGTTTGAACGTGGAGAGGCACTAGATAAGATCACACAAGATGTAAGAAGAGTCCTTGAAGAAGAATGTGATGAAGAAAGCTTAAAAATTTTGCCAAAGGTGGTAGACACAGTGAGGAAGAAGGTACAAACACCTTAGAACAAGCTAAAATAAACTGCAATACCCTTTTAGTGAGTGGTAATCAAGCTCTCAGCCATATTATGTGCTTCTTGTTTTCTATGTCGCTGAAACTTTATCCTGTATTATTTACTATTGCCTCATAAGTTATATAGAAAGCATGGATTCTTTAGATTTTAAACGGCTGGTTCACTAGTGTGGGATATTAGTTGAATACCAACATGTGTTGGACAAAGCTAGATGCCTGTCAGAAGTACTTGCCAATTTTTTATCCTGTATTGCCAGTTTAGACATGACTGGGATGTGTCTAAGCCATTGTCTAGTGTTGGGGTTGATATGGCTTAACAACCGGTACTGCAATTCCCTAAAGCCATAATGAAAAGTTGATACTTGATGCCTATTCTGACAAAACAATTAATAAATCCTTCCACATATTCTTGCCTTCTTGACCTGTGTCCATGGAAGAGTGTTCTTTCTGGTTTATAGGTCATTAATTTAGTTTGTGGGCTCGAACCAGTCTGGTCTGTGACACTAGTGTGTTTTTTGTATTAAGCAGTTATCAAATAATCAATTATCAATTAATTTAATAAAAAAATTTTAAATTAGCATTTAAAAAAGGGATGTGAAAAAAAAAATCACCTCATTATTAGTAATTAATATCTAAATCTCCCATTTTTTTGTCAATTAATGTTCAATTTTTAAAATTTAGTTTATATCTATGTATCATAGCTATGTATTGACTATTATATGTGCCTAATTGGTATATCTCCTTTAGTTACTTGGTGATTTGCATATTCATAAAATATAGGTTGTTCGAAAAAGAATTATTGCAGAGGGATTTAGAGTTGATGGGCGACAGCTTGATGAAGTTAGGCCTTTGTATTGTGAAGCTGGAAATTTACCTATTTTGCATGGATCTGCACTTTTTTCTCGTGGAGACACGCAGGTGTTAATTATATTTGATATTTTCTGATTTTGAATTCTGTAATTTTTGAGCCCATTTTTTGGCCAGGAATGCAGTAGACTGGGTGGGTAGTTTCTACACGTTTGATTAACCACCACCTTTTTGTAGGAAGGTGGTGGATGATGAAAGGAGGCTCTCTCAAGTTATTGATTAGCTTGTAATCTCTTTTGATTTATTGATCAGTATTTCATTCCAAGAAAACATCCTGTAATTTTGATTATCGTTCACCATCATATTTTGATGGTTTTAATTCTGAGTTATCTGTGGAACAGGTCCTTTGCACAGTAACTCTTGGAGCACCTTCAGATGCTCAACGCTTGGATTCTTTAGTGGGCCCTCCAACAAAGCGATTTATGCTTCATTACAGTTTTCCACCCTTCTGTACAAATGAAGTTGGCAAACGTACTGGTTTGAACAGGCGTGAAGTTGGACATGGTAAAGAAGTTAAATTTAAATTTAAATTTTTGTTACAAAGTCAGTTAATGGATATGTCTGCGACAAAGGCCTCCACTCTTGTTTGCCATTCGGCAAGATCTCATTGTAGCTTTTTATACAGGGAAAATAGTTTTTTTATTTTTATTTTTTAATGGAGAGAGAATTCATTGAACAGAGTAGAGAATACTACCTTCAAGAAGAAAAGAAAAAAGATCGTTTCAAAACAGAAGTTTTTGAAAAAAGTACTGCCTAGATTCTTTAACTGAAGTAGGCCTTCCGTTTCCTTTGGAGATCCCCAAGGGACACGCTTCAGTCCTTCTGAAGAAACTATCAGCTGAAAGCCACTTATAGGACTCAAAAATAGTCCTATATAAGAAGTGGTGAAAGATACTAATAAAAGATTAAACTTACTTTCTGTATCTTCATAATACCTAATAGAATTCTTATATTATTGATTATTGATGATGCTACTATATGTCATTCCCATAATGCCCTCTTGGTAAAACATAAATATGTTGGCCCTAGGAATGTGGGATTTTATCTTTCAAAATCTAATTGGATAGGCAACACAGGATCCTAGTGCATAAGCTTTGGCTGGTGCTGACAAAATAATAAATCCACGAAGAGTGGATTTCTGTTTGCCTCATGTAGATTGTGGCCGTAGTTCTGCCCTAGCTTCAGTGGTGGTGTTGTGCTTTTAGCTGCCTATCTAGTGTTCTGGGATGCAGTGTGGTAGATATAAGGAGAGAGAAAGAGAACACTTATCTGTTGATGTGAGTCATCCTTGGTGGGTGTGGGTCTAAGGTATTGGCTTATTGGGTATGTGTGAGAATATATCGGAACACTATTCATTAGCCTAGCCTTTGCATAACAGATTAAGCTTTTTAGTTGAATTGGTCCTTGAGGCTACATTTATTATATGTAGTACAACTGATAGGAAAATCAGCACTGGGTGTGATGGGATGTCAAAACTGGCAGCTGTTTTTTTTTGGCTGTCTTGGTATTATCAAAGTGGACTGATCAGTCCAATTTCAGACTAACTTTTATGCCCTTCTGCGAGCAGAATCATTCTCTTGATGAACTCTTTTTAAGAAACTGCTCTAACGGATGCAACTTTGAACAGCCTTCTGAGAAGGTCATAGGAACTGAACTTTTATGACTTTGCCTGCATCCAAAGTGTGGCGGCATTTTCTAACAAAAGAATCAATCTCAAAATTATCAACTTAGCATTTCAAATTTTTAAATAGAAAAATAAGAAAAGTGCAACTTTTGAAGTTAAGTGTTGTAATGTTAGCTAACATGATGAAAATTACTTATATTGCTTCTTATTGTAATTAAATATTTGTATCTGGAGAGACGACATGCTAAAAAACCCACGTGGCTTGCAATCATTATATAAATATGTAAGATCTGGTACTACTGAACTTTGAACTGATGATCATTATCTACAATGCAATTTCTCATAGAACTAGAAGGAATCAGAATATTAGTTTCACCTTTGGTATTACCTGCCCACTGAAAATTAGGAGTGCAGAGTGTTGTGGAGTTTTGATCTGCTTGTTGCTTGTGCATTTGGTTTGGGCTTACTGCAAGACCTTTAACCATTAATTAGTTAGTGCCAATCCATATTTTGGATAGACATGTTTCTCTATCTTCTAGTTTGGTTTCAGCTTTAAAGGATTTGTCTTTCTGATACGCCGAAGGTCTAGAGAGCCCTCTTATACTGATGTTTCCCAATTTTTCTTTTAGTTCTTTCTGCTGCCTTTTCTTTTCTCAAGGAGGACTCCTGATCTTTCTTCAGTTTAATTTTTTCTGTCTTGATAATTCTTCTTTCCTGTGAAAAAAAAAGGTTTCATATTAGATGATGTATTGTTGTATTGCTTTAGTATATTGTCAATTGATATATTCAGGGTTAGGCTTATTTGTTTTTGTATCCTGAACTATAAATTAATGAACAGGAGGTTGCATTATGAAAACACCTGAAAATACCAAATGACATATAAAGAACCTTCACTGATTAATTAAAATAATAAGAGGTTGGATTCATCAATGAAGTAGAATAATTAGATGTTGCCTTATTTGCTGTATTGCAGGAACTCTTGCTGAGAAAGCTCTTCTTGCTGTATTGCCTCCTGAAGACGATTTTCCATATACTGTTCGAGTCAACTCAGAAGTCATGGCTTCCGATGGTTCAACATCAATGGCAACAGTTTGTGGAGGTACTCTGTCAATCCAGAGAGTTGTAGCATAAGTGATTCAAATTTAAATGATTAATTCAGGTTCTTATCTTCACAAGTTTTATCATTTATGTTGTACATTTCTTGCTGATGAAGTTTGAATTGGTACCTAATCATGTCATGCTAGTGCTTCTTCCACTGTAGAAATCTATAATTTGAGGGGCACATGTTGATTGATCTGCATAACCTGTGACCTTTTTAGACGATTTGTGATTAACATGCATAAATAATTTCTTTAAAACCAGGGACACGAATGATGCATGAGTTCATTAACGCAGATTTGTATGATAGCCAGTAAAAGTCCTTTTGATTCAGGGATTAGTGGTAAGAGGGAAGGCGAATAATGTTGAGGATTTTTTGGGTATAGAAGTTTTAAATGATGGTGGATCATTTGAAGCCTGGGTAAGGTCTAATAATACTCTAGGTATGAGTTTGGGATGAGATTTTAGGGGGAACGTAATAGGATTAGAGTTTTGATCTAATAGTGGGAGGCATCAATTTACTTGCCCCCTACTTTTTAAGGATGATGTGAACTTAATGAAACCTTTCTTAATCTTTTTTTAGTAGGAATTAAAAAAAAACATTAAGCCAGGCCTATCAAATTGCAAAGTGATGAAGCTGATAAAAATTGTCGCACGTACTATCAATAGCGCGTCCTTGCACGGAAGGTCATCTATGTGGTTGATATTCATGTCCTGGAGATTTGGTGATAATTCAGGATGCTTCCAACTGTTGAATTTTAAAGTATTAAGTAAAGCTTTAGCAGCGCTCTGACCTCTGAAATATCAATATTACTGATGAACTGTTATTTTTGACATCAAATTTACAATACCTTATAACATTACTCTTTAAGGCTTTGACATATTTCTCTTACCAGCTGCTTAGGTATTTTTCAGCTTCTAGGTTGTTCATAACTTTTGTTAAAGATGCTTAATGTGAGTTATATTGAGGAACTTGTGAGAGGCAATTTCTGTGATTGACCGTTGGAAATTTTTTTCTATTTAACTGTAATAACAAAACAATCTATCTTGGAATGTTTCTGTGTAAGTGCTACTGGAGTGCTGCAATTTGGTTCACAATTGCGCATTTGGATATTTTGAATTGCGGTTTTCATATTTGAGAGCCACTTATGTCAAGATTGTATCTTCCATGGACTTTGAAAATTTAAACTACTCCACTGTTCTGAAGATTAAACCACGACATGAACTATCTAACAGCAGGGCAGCAGTTAGTGTTATTAACTGGCTAGATCCTTGTCTGTGTGGATTTTTTCACGGACCATTTCAACTCCAATGTTTAGGCTTTTAAGTGAAGATTGAAAGTTCATGATTAGATTTTCTTATAATCTGATTATTTCTGTGACTTTTGAGGGACGTATAATGTATCTAATATCTGTTGTTTACTTGGATTTTTAATTGAATTGATGCTTCATGATATTCATCTGATATATTAGCTTTCTTTATTGTAGGTAGTATGGCCCTAATGGATGCTGGCATTCCAGTTCGTGAACATGTTGCTGGTGTTTCTGTGGGTCTTGTTACTGAACTTGATCCTGTCAGTGGCAAAATAACAGATTATCGTATATTGACTGATATTTTGGTATTTTCCATGAACTATTGAGTATTTTTTGTTCCAGCTGGTTGTCTTAGCTAGATTGAAGTATATCTATTTCTAGTTTTTCCCCCTTTTCTTTCTTTCTTTCTTTCTATTTTTCTCAAGTGTTCACTACCAAAAGGCAGTATAGGATTCATTAATCATTTTTTTATAGTTATGTCTAACGATTTTTAAGAGATGTAATGATTTAAAAATTGTATGGTTTGTCACTCATTGGTCATCCTTCCACATATTTAATTTTTCAAGTGGAAGAAAATGTTGAAAAAGCAAGGTATTGCTTTCATGGAAGAATATTAACTTTTATATTTTCTAAGGGCTTGGAAGATCATTTGGGTGACATTGACTTCAAGATTGCGGGAACTCGAAAAGGAGTTACTGCTATTCAGCTGGATATAAAACCTGCTGGAATTCCTCTAGATATCATATGTGAATGTTTGGAACCTGCCCGTAAAGCTCGTCTTCAGATTATTGACCACATGAACCAGGAGATTAATGCACCTCACACTCAGATTGATCGAAACTCTCCACGACTAGGTTTGACATCTTTTCCTATCCTTCTTTGGCTTTGTCTTTTTTTTTTTAATTATGTTTCCTAATCACATACGGTAACTTCCAAGTTTGAAATATATTATTGTTGATGCAGCTACCTTAAAGTACAGCAATGATGTTCTTCGCAACCTGATTGGGCCACTGGGTGCTGTTAAGAGTAAAATTGAAGAGGAAACAGGTTCATTCAACCTTGATTTGTGTAGCAAAGTTCTTTCAAATTGTACTTCTAAATTAGTTTTTGAGGTTCATATTTCTTGTTAACTGTTATCTGATAATCCAAGACTTTGGAGTTCTTGTATCATTTTTTCCCACTCACATGGTCAGGCTTTCTTCATTTGTTTTGTACTATCTATCAGGTGTTCAATTTGGTTCTTTCAATATATCCTTAGACTTCCCTTATAAGATGACTCTTCTTTAGTGCTCTTAATACCCCACCTGTGTTTTTAGTTAGGCTATCACACCTAGGGGTGAAACTAGCTTTGAATTTTGAGGGGGGCCAAAATACTTCACTTCACGGACGTCCCCTTTCTTGTTCTTTGCTTCCCTTTTCTTATCTTAAAAAGATACTCCCTGCAGTCTAAAATATAAACATTTTTTATCATGAAAAAAATTATTTTCCCCTTTTTACCATTATTTATAATTTATTAAGAGTGAAAAAAGGTCATAAATTTACATACACAAAAATACACAAAATACACAAAAATTCAAGTTAATAAATACAAAAGGTAAAATGGAATTTTTTTAACAAATACTAAATTTCTTATATTTTGAATTAAGATTAGTTGAAAAAAAATTTTATATTTTGAATTGTAAGTATAATTGCTAACACCACCTAAAACATACACACTCAGAAGGTTGATACCTTTCTCTTATCTATTTTAATGATTTTTTTTTGGTGAAATATTTTAATGGAAAAGTTGATAGCGTTTTCGATTAATTAGGATTCAGATATGTATATTGTTGGAACTTCGCAAGCATTCATATGGGGTTGCGCCATGAGAGGAACTTTTTCTTTCTTTGTTTTTTTTTTGGGCCATCAGTGTGGAAAAGCAGTGATGTGCTACGCAAGTCTTAACAGCTAATACATATGCCTATGTTAAAAAAAAAAAAAGAAAAGAAGTTTGGGGTGGGTCCTGGCCCCCCCTGGGGATCCGCCCCTGATCCCACCAGTAACTTATTGGTTTTGTCTGCTTCCCTCTTTTGGATGTTTCCTGATATTATTCTCCTGGGTAGAACTTATGTTTAGGAAGGAATCGATCTTCACCTATATATGTTACTCGTCAGTTGTTGAGTTTAAACAGTAATATTACATTAACATCTGAACTTTCTGTGGATGTATCTTGAAAACTTACAATTGCTTTGCTGTCTATAAAAAGATATGATCTTCAATTTTTGGATGACTCAAATGTTTAGATAATGACTAAGTCCATTATATGTTTTACAGGAAAGTTCTCTCATTCTTTTTGCTTATCAGTATGCCAATGTTTTGCATAAGAAGTTTTTTTCATGATGGATTGTTTAAAGTCCTTTTTTTGGAAAAGAGGGCAATAGAGCACTATATTATCAGTGAAATGCCTACTGACAGTATTGCTTACTGTAATCAGGTGCACGGATGTCTGTAGGAGATGGAACACTTACAATAATTGCTAAGAATCAATCCGTAATGGATAAAGTTCTGGAAAAGGTAGTCCTTTCATTCATTTGAGCTAATAGTTTCCATCTGATTGTATTTTTCATTGGCCTATCATCCCTGTAGTTCTATATCATACAAACACGTCTTAGTTCTAGAAGGGTTGTGTCTGGACTTTGGATTAAAAGTTGTGAAACTAAAGTTTGAATAAATTGGAGTTTGCAAACTGAAATTAGAGTAAAAGTTAGTTATTGTATAGTAATTTATGTTTGAATATATTTTTTTTTAAAAAAATCAGTTTGACAAACTGAAACTTGTTTGGATAATATAATTCAAAAGCAAGTTTAGATGTATTAATGACTGAAAAGGTTATGAATTTTATGATATATATTTGTGTCTAATTTGATCCTTTTAAGGTAAAATATTAAACTTTAATTTACAATTTTAAAAAATAAAGAGTCCATACATAATTAAGTATTATTTGTAAATTCTAAAAAGCTAAAATAAATTTATAAATGACAAAATATTAAATTCTATAACTTTTTGAACATTCTCAATGTTCACATATGAAATTTAATTTTAAAAATTAAAAAAAGATTAGATTAAAATATTATAATTTGAGAATTTCTTATCAGTATGTTCGGTTAATGAAATTAATAATGTTAGGGTTAGAGGATAAAAAAAACTTCATAAAATTAAGGCATCAAAATGAAACCTTATGCAAAATTATAAGATTAATTAAAAGTGTACTTTTACTGTTTTACCTCGTACATATAACACACACACACACACACACAATAAAAATAATAAGAATATAAAGTACATTAAATAGGAACATACAAGGGGGGAAGAGAGCAATAACGAAAATAGGTTGAATGGCAAAAAAGGAGAAGAGGAGAGAGAGCACATGACATTTCTGCAAGTTGGTAATGCAACTTCAAAAACTACTCCAACTAGCTTTTGTTATAACCTAGGTTGGGAGGTAAAAGCCATTTGATAAAAAAATTATCCCAACAGCATATTTAAGCCCCAACTAGCTTTTTGGGGTTACAACCTAGGTTTTGGGGTTGTAAAAGTTTAACCAAACACGCTCCAGGTTTGGTCAGGAACAGACATAATGATACAATTTGGCAATTATGTTGTCTTCAATTATTTTATTTTTCTGAATATTTGTCCAGCTGCACAGTTGCATACCCTAAAAACACCTTATTTCTCAGATTGACTTCTTAGTTGGTCGGGAGATTGAAGTTGGAGGCATCTACAGAGGTGTTGTAACTTCTATCAAAGAATATGGAGCATTTGTGGAGTTCAATGGTGGGCAGCAGGGCCTTCTCCATATTTCTGAATTGTCACATAAACCGGTATGTGTGGTTTTAAGTATTTTACTTGCTTCTGTTTAAGATATTAATAAAATAATTAATGAAGCGGGCTTTCATGCGCTGCACAGAATCTGAAGAATGAGTTGCATTGTTCACAATTTTTGTCATGAACATTGTGACTTATCATAGATTTTATATTTTAAAGTCCGATGAATTGGTCACTTGCTATAAATTTGGTATTGATATTAATGATGCTTGGGCCATCTCTCAATAGATTGACCTGAACTGCCCGTGCAATGCAAGGGGAATAAGCTCTAGTTGATGTTGTGTTTCATTTTCATGATTAAGCTGTCAAGAGTTCAATTCTTCCGCTCTTGACTCTTTAAATATGTTTTAATGCACAGTATCATAGGAATATGCATTTATCTTTAAGCGCCATATTATCGCATGGGTTATACTATAATTGCCATCAAAGAACATGGGACATATATATATTGGCCTTCAGAGTTCATCCTCTTAACTACTCCTTACACCATTCATTAGGTTTCACGGGTTTCAGACGTGGTATCTGTTGGCCAGCAGCTTTCCTTGTTGTGCATAGGCCAGGATGTTCGTGGCAACATTAAATTATCCCTCAAAGCAACTCTGCCTTGTCCTGAAGGAATGGAGACTAATGATGCCGCTGAAGAATCTGTCCTGGACACAAAAGAAACACGCAACATTTGGGCCCCAGTTGGGAATGAGTATGCTACTCAAGAGGAGCAACATTCTGTTGAATTGACCACTGGCAAACATGAGGTGGGTGAGACAAAACCATCAATTTTAATACGTAGTGCTGCAGAGTGTGATGAGGAGGAAAAGTCTTTGAATAAGTCTTCAAAGAAGAACCCCAAATCTGGTAATGGGTCTCAGCTAGGTCGCAAGTCAAAATCTCTTAGGTCTCGTGATGCAGTTCATTCTACACCAAGTACATCTCATCTGGCTCAGGATGTGATTGATTCTCTATCATCTCTTTCCATTCCCTTTGCCCATGAGAAATCTAAGAAGTCCAAACCGTCAGTGCTGAACGAAGCTGGAGATAAGGTGGTAACACCAAAAGCTATGAAGATTGGAACAAAAGTCGCTGCAAAAGTTGATCAAATTCGTGCACATGGTCTGGTTTTGGATTTGGGGGGAGGACTCCGAGGAATGTATAGGTTTGAGGTATGAGTTATGATTTTCCCTTTTTGCATGTTTATACATATTAGTGGTCAGTGTTATTTTTTAATTTAAATAAACATGATTTTCCTTGTACCTGCCTTTCCCTAGGCCTTAAATTCTTTTCTCCAATGCTGTTGCTGGAAAAAGCTAGTCAGCTTTTTGTGTTACTTTGCTTTGTAGGAAATCAGACTTTATGATTTTTGCATGGTATTTCGATGTCCCTACAACTCTACTTGTTTGCCATTTCTGCAACCATACATTTTGTCACAGCAACGCTTGTGGATGAAATGCATTACTTTATCCCTGTGATTCCTATTCCTAATTTTTAAAATCTATGCTTCGTATTTTACTGGAACTAAATTGTATCATCGTATCCTCCTTTTGATGACATTGTATTCTTTCCGATTATCTTGATTGCATGTGCACAATAAACCAATGAATTCATTTATTGAATCATCCTTGTCTTGTCAAGCAGAAAGATGGCAAAAGGGACTATGAGATAGGTGACCAACTACGAGTTGTGTGCTCTAGTTTTTCTACCAAGGGAATTCCAGTGATGTCTTCGGTGGATGATGAATAACTTGTGATTTTAACTTCCTGAGAAAGGAGCTGAACGCGATTCTAATGCTAGGATGATGTCTTCAAGGCTGTGTTTTCAACAGTGAATTAAATTTTCATCGATGGGCTGAAAGGCGTGCCTTGAACGCATTCGATTCAGAGGCTATGGACATGTAAATTTTTGGGCTGCTAAGCCTAGTTTAACTTCTTGAGGCTACTGATTGATGGTACATAATAGCAGCTATGGGGATAAAGGGTCTTGGAGATGCCTGATGGCACTTGACCACCATTTCATGTCAGACAGTGGATGTTCATCTTTGTAATTTGTAGGCGTCTAGTCGTTATTGACCCATATTGGTTATCTAATTTTTTTTTGTTTCCCGAGGTAAGGACAGGACAAATTACACATGTACGGGGTAGTGTTGGTAATTCTTTTTTAGGCCAAACTTCATCAATGGCGGACAGATATCCTAGCCATCCAAAACCAGAATTTTGGCTGGTCAGCATTCTTCAGTTTTTTGGGGTCTTCTTCCTCAGTGGTTTGAAGAGCTTTACAAGAACATATGCATTGTACTCAGTATTGTGCTGGACCTTGAGCGCTGTGCAATGCTGAAGCTTACACCAGCTATTTCAAGAGAGGATAGGTAGATTCAGTTATTTCAATTGGAGATTAATAGCTGTTCAAGACGCATTGTAGGAAGGTGAGTGGGTGTGTAGAATTTATAGGAAGTTGCATCGTTTTAATCATGGAATATTACAGTTTAGTTCAGGCTCTGAACATTGCGTGTGTTTACATTTAATAAACGTAATAGCCATTTGTACTGCGGTCTAACCTGACTATAGAGGTCTGTCATCCTCATCATCTGAATTTTTGTCATAATGCTTTTCTTTTCATCAATCAGCGGCCTAAAAAAACTCTCAACTACAAATAGTGCAACAAATACAGTCGGTTTCTTCGCGTGGGAAAATCCAATAAAAAACTCGTACTGACCATTCTAATTGCAGCTAATGAGTAAAGCAGCGGTTTCCTTTCTTGGTTTGCAAGTAACGATCGTCATGAAGTAGAAATTTGTAACAGTGATGCGTGCGGCCGAGAGTTGCATTGTTAGCGAAGCTAAAAGAACGCACTCGAAGTAATATTTTCCTGACCTTAGAAAATCATTAAAGTAAAGTAATAGATGATAATGAATCAATCAGTAAAGTTAAAATGGAGCAGCAGCCATTTCTGCTGACCATTCTATTTTAGCATAGAAGGGCTAAATATGATAGTCCTGACCTATGCTTAAATCAGAATGTAGAAGAGGAGCTGGACACAAGTTCATGGGATGGACTAGTCAAGCCCTTGCAGGCACGTGATCTTCTATTTCGTTCCTCTCAAACATTCTTTTGCTTGATAAAGGCTTTAACCATTTCTGGCCTCTGTTATCTCCATTTTACAAGATTTTGTCTTCAGTGTTTCCTTTTGGCTATGCTTTTCAGGCATGAAGACGTCTCCAACTGAACACTGCATCAGCAAAAATATGGACCGAAGCATGGAGGCTGACGATGATGGAGAAATTGCAAGAGCTATCCTGGTGGGACCAAGAGTTAGGTGACCAAACCCATATTTGGTTCTTGTTCGGCACGACATTAAACAATAAAAAGATTCATGAAGGGTTGTCATGGAGAAAAGATTTTATTACAATTAAGAACCACTGTACGAGAGAGAGAGAGAGAGAGAGATTGTTCATGGGGGATAACGCCTTGTCAAATCAAAAGACATAAAATATGTAAGTCTAATTGGCTTTCAGATTTGAAAAGAATATTTCCGGCTTTCAGATTTGAAAAGAATATTTCCGCCATGGACGCCTCGTGACAAGCTTTTTGCCTTTTTCAGTCGGCATTTGTCAATGGCACAGAGTATGATGACTTTGGAGTCGGAATCCAGGAATGTTGGAGAGGTCATGATGAACGTAATTCAATGAGTAATGAAAGACTTCCGTGGCAGCTGCTAATTAATAAGTGTTGACTTTTAACATCAATTATTTATTTATTTATTTATTTATTTATTGATGAAGTCCGAGACAAGTACTTCACAAATTCAACGAAGTACGGTCGGGAGTAAGGCAAGCAACACTGTTGTTTGCCAGCGAGAGCTTGGGAAAAAAGTCACAGGCAGTATGTCCTGCTTGGAGAAGACTTTTTCTCTTGTGCTTTTACAAAATTAGATTTATATATTTAGTCACGTTACGATTAACTAGTTTTAATATCATTATCTTCTGCGTTTTCTTGTATGCGTGTTCAAGTCTTGCGTGGAAAAGGAGGGTCTGACAAATACTTGTAGACGGCGTGTGTGGTAGGGTGCAATTCGGCTGCAGCTAGACGGTTGTGTCTGTCCCGTTTAGTGGTATAAAGTTTCAGATATAACTGAATTTAGAATTTGCAGATGAGGATCAATTGGCGTTAGTCATAATGAGAAGTGTTGTGGTCAATTAAATATAAATTTCTGAGTTCATGTTTACGGAATGCAAAAAAAAAAAAAAAGAAAGAAAGAAAAAATACATTAAAGTTCCGTATAAAAAAATTAATTACTGTAAGATCTATTAATAATTGAGCTAAAATGTATCGTGTTGTCAATGCATTTTAGTTCAGTTGTCAATAATTTTATAATAATTATTTTTTTATGTGAAATTTGATTTCAATTCTCTAAAAAAAAATTTAAAAGAGCTATTCTTTTTAATTGAGCCTTACAATGATTGAATATAATCCTATCAGATAATTATGTAAACAAATGGTAAATGAGTATCAAGCATCGGGGAAAAAGGATCAAATTTAGTTGAGAGCGAATATATTTTAAAATTATATGATGGGAGCAATGCACGTGAGATCAGGCGTATGAATAAAATATTATTAAGCTTTCAAGATAGGCACTTGTTAAGTGCAGTAATTCTAAACAAGGTTTCAATGTAGTCGTCAGTTTCAGATGGAAACTTAACAGAGATGATGAGATTCGCTTAATTATATTTAAAAAAAATGAACGTTTAATTATAAAAATAAGGAGAAATGATGCATTGATTATAAAAAGGCAGTAAAAAGGTCGGTGGAAAGTGGAAGTGGAAAATTGGGTCGCGTTTACATTAACATTAATATTGCTATTACTTCATGTTCAAGAGAAGGCTTTTCCAATTCCAACACCTTGTTTTGACGGTGACGAGCACCTTCTCTGTATCTCCAAGTCAAAGTGGGCCCCCATTCCTTTTCCTTTCAGTTTCCTCGAATCAAATTATCAAACTTGACCTCATTCTTGCCCCACGGATCCATGCCTCTTCCGTGTTGTCGCTAACTCTTATTTCTTGCTAATTATTTATAAATATTCATAATGTTAATCATTTTAGTATTATCAGAATCAGATCGATTGGCTGGAACGAATGGCCAAACCGAGCACTGGGCTACTGGCCATGTTTCTAGTCCATGACACCTTAAGTCCTAAAGAACTCGCCAAAAAGTGAATCAGTTGAAAACTGGTGAGAACCGGCTTTGAACCTCTTTTTGATTCGCGACGATTACCCACAAGCCACTAAAAAGTATCTAAAACTTGCCACGTGTCAAAAAATTCATGCATACACGTTGTTTTATTAATTTTATTATTGTTTAGTGATTATTTTCATTATAAATAAGGTGTTGAATGTATTCAGACTTGATTCAATAAAATTCAATAGCTTATGCCTTATCCTTGGGCATATTTGGATCAACTTTTTGTAATTTTCAAGAACTCAAAAAACTATAGCATTATTTTGTGTTTATTTGTTTTTCGGTTGATTTTTTGTGTCATATATTTGATAATTTATTGGTGGTTCTGATTAGTCATGGAAGCTTGTGCTGGTTTAGTTGAACAACTAATCTAGCATATTTAATAGCTTTGGTAATTTGTAATAAATGATAAATACTTTATTATAATGATAATTTGATTAGCATAAATTTAGCATGTGTGATGAGGATGTGAAAAAATATCACCCAGTCCTACTCTTGGGATAGGGAGGAAATTTTTTTTTTAATTTCATTTATAACTTACATCATTAAATTTTTATTACAACTTCTCCTTTTATCATTTATTAAATATTAGAAAAATAAAATGTATTCTTTAAGCATGTATATTTAATATGTACAAAGTTAATAAATTATTAAACTTTTAAATAGAGTTATGAGGTTTAAGATTTTTAATTAATGCTCATAAAACATGATAAAAAGTGATTTATAAATATGATTGAAAGAGTATTAGAGAAAATAATCAATTTATACAGTTTAAAAAGTTATCTAAATATAATAATTATGCTTGAAATTTAAAAATTTAAACTGAATTATCTTTATAATTAAATAAATAAATTTATCTAATGAAAATAAATATTCACTTTGTAAGGAATGGTTTGAGAAAAATACAACAAATATTTTTTAGTGCCTCCCTCCCTAGTCCCTGCCCCATCGACCATTGAATCCAGAGATGCAGTAAAGTGATGCATCACCAAATCCTAAAAGATCAAACTTGGCACTCGCCATTCGCCAACCTCCTCTTCCCTCCTCTTTTCCCATAAAACCAAACCTCTCTCTCTCTCTCTCTCTCTACCCGACGGCTCCAAGCACCGCCATGGAACATTCCTCCCTCCCATCTACATGCCTTCTCATTCCCATCCTCTTCATCTTTTTCTGTTTCCCTCCCTCCCTTCTCTCCGATCCTCGAATCTCCCTCGCCGGCCTCTTCTGCGGCAACTCCAAAGCTCCTCTCTCTTCCCATTACATCCCCATCTTCGTCCAGGAAATGCACTCTCTCTCCCAGACCATCACCACTCAGAACTGGGCTTCTCACTCCCTCAATCTCTCTTCCCTCCCCATCTTCGGTTTCGCTCAGTGCTTCCACGACCTTTCCCACACCGATTGCCTCCTCTGCTACGCCGCCAGTCGCACCAAGCTCCCTCGCTGCCTCCCGTCACTCTCCGCGCGCATCTACCTCGACGGCTGCTTCCTTCGCTACGATAACTACAGTTTCTACTCGGAAGCCATTGATCCTGTCAGGGACACCGTGAACTGTAGCGCCGAGTATGGTGTGGTGGAGGATGAAGGCGATGAGAGGTGGAAATTCGACAAGAGTCTCGGCGAGGTGTTTGATAATGTGGTGAGGGTTGCTGTAGGAGAGGGATTCGGCTTCGGTGTGGGAGAGGTTGGGGGAGTTTATGCTCTGGCTCAGTGTTGGAAGACGTTGGAGAGTGATGCGTGTGAGAATTGCTTGAGGAAAGCGGTGAGAGAGGTGAGAGGTTGCTTGCCTAAGAGGGAAGGAAGGGCTTTGAATGCTGGATGCTATTTGAGATACTCATCTTTCAAGTTCTACAACGAAGGAGGTGAAGAACAGGGTCAAAAGGGTAAGTATGTGCGGCTGCAAAAGTTTTCTGCTCTTTTTAGAGTTGTTTCACTAAATGGCAATTCAGGCTCACATGGGACTAGTATGAGTCACATTTGAAATCTTCATATTTCTTTGGTTCGAACTCCGGTTCAAGATTATAGATCTTTATGTCAATTGCCTGAGTTAACCTTTTGATTTTTAGGGTCATTCAGGAGGGGAGCCGTTATAGCAATTGTGTTATCTGTGGCTGCGGTTGTGTTGCTGTTTCTCTCTGCCTTTTATGTAATCTTCTCAAGAATATCAAAGATGAATAAAGGTGATATGTTAGGAAAGTATGACAGCAATCGTAACAAACTTGGAACAGTTAAATATTTTGTTTTCTGAGGCCGTGTTTCTGTTCTCTTTCGTCACCCAGAAAACAGTCGGCTTGGCCAGATTTCGATTTCCATAAACAAGTCACGTTTGAACTTCAAATACGAGACTCTGGAGAAGGCCACCGATTATTTCAACTCTTCAAGAAAAATTGGCCAGGGAGGGGCTGGTTCTGTGTTCAAAGGGACTCTGTCAAATGGGAAAGTCGTGGCTGTCAAGAGATTAGTGTTCAATAACAGGCAATGGGTTGACGAGTTCTTTAACGAAGTGAATTTGATCAGCGGAATTGAGCACAAGAACCTTGTCAAACTCTTGGGTTGTAGCATTGAAGGCCCCGAGAGCCTCCTTGTGTACGAGTACCTACCCAACAAGAGCTTGGATCAATTCATTTTTGGTAATTTTCTCTCTTTTATTATACTTTTCCCAATCAAAACCTTACATATTTTCGATTCCAATTGAACTTTATAAGAGCAAAGCATCAACGGCTTAATTCTCGCTCCGGAAACATGACGTCCTCTTACTCTGCTTTGTTGCAGAAAAGAACAAAAGTCAGGTTCTGAATTGGAGGCAGCGTTTTGGTATAATAATTGGAATAGCAGAGGGGCTTGCATATCTTCACGCAGGATCTAAAATAAGAATAATCCATAGAGACATCAAAAGTAGCAACATTCTTCTGGACGAGAATCTCACTCCTAAAATTGCCGACTTTGGCCTCGCCCGCTGTTTTGCTGCCGACAAGACGCATCTTAGCACTGGAATTGCCGGAACACTGTGAGTCCATAAAGTTTTAGTCTGTATTTTTTTTAAAAAAATCTCAAATAATTTTACTTATCAATTTTCTTTTTAACTGAAGAAATTATACCGTAGCTGACTATTTTTTTTTTTAAATTCTTATTTCTTGGGCAGAGGATACATGGCACCTGAATATCTTACTCGAGGCCAACTAACAGATAAAGCTGATGTCTATAGCTTTGGAGTGCTTGTTCTGGAAATTTTATGTGGCAGAAGGAACAATGTCTTCAGAGAAGACTCTGGCTCCCTTCTACAAACAGTGAGATCTTTCTCTACTTCACCTGAATCTTGAAACAAGGCTCATTAGTTTTCTCAGCTACCTGATTCATTCAACACCTTTTGTTCTTTGGATTTGGCCTCAGATCTGGAAACTGTATCGATCAAACCGATTACATGAAGCTGTGGATCCATGCTTAGGGGATGATTCTGCAGGAGCAGAATTATCAAGGGTGCTTCAAATAGGGCTGCTATGCACGCAAGCTTCTGCTTCCCTGAGGCCATCCATGGAAGAAGTTGTAGAGCTGCTAAGCAATTCAAACGTGGATGTTTCTGTACCGAGTCAACCCCCATTTTTGAGCGCTGGGACTGGTTTGCTAAACTCGGAGAGCTCTATTAGGTCTTACAGCACAAACAGTTTTGTTTCCAATGCATTGAAGAAGATTGTAACGTCCGAAGTATCATCCTCGGAGACCTTCAGCACTCGCAGTTCAGAACAGGTGAACCAAGCTTGATTCTTTAACACGGTGCAGGTCCAGAGGTCTTGGGAGGTAGTAGAGCATTAATTGGGGACGAGAGTGATTTGTTTTCCCGTAAACAAAAAGTCATGATAAAAACTAATAAAAAAGAAAAGATAAGATCCTCGCTTGCCAGTGAGTTAATGTGTTTTTTTTTTTTTTTTGACAAAAACGATTCACTAATTGTCAACAGTTAGAGCCACACTGTAAATTGTCCATTTTATTATTGGTATGTTGTAATTTTTTATTATTTATTTCATGCCCATAAAATAATTTTTTGCACTGTGATGTTACAACCAATTGTTATATTGATGGAATGCTTGAACATCAGTGGAATATTAGTTGAGTTTTTTTTTGTTATTAATTCCCTCCGGAGGGGGAAATTATATGCATGAACTTTGTAAACTAGTTTTAATGGGATAATCAAATTGTTAATTTTAAATTTCTCCAAGATCTAAATTTAAAGATTTCAAGCATCGACAAAAGGGGGAATCGCACGCACGTAAGGTCCTCATAATCAAGAAATTCACATCAAAAGCCCAATAGAATTTGAATTGGAAGATCCCTTCCAAATTAAATTTTGGTGTGAAATGACTGAATTGCCCTTGGTCTCTCTTCCTCACCCAAATTCCTGAACTAATTCTTCAGGCTCTGACACGGCAAATCCAACTCTGGGAACTCTCCATTTCAAGTGATCCTAGACGAGCCCCTCTGATTCACTTAAAGGAATTTTATTTACCTGAAGGTTCGTTGGGGTGGGGGTTGGAAGAGAACAAGGACAATCCCGTCATTTCACGACAAAATTTAAATTGTATGTGAGACCCTAGGCCTGTAGAATCGGTTCAGATTATATTAGGCCTTTGTTGCGATTTTCTTAGTTTTGAGAACCTTTGGTGCAATTCTCCCTAGATAAAAAACGAGATCTGGTTTGAGATTATTATTTGAAGATAAATTTGCTGTGTCATGAATTCAAATTTGAAGTTAAAGATAAAACTATAACCCTTGTTTTTTTTTTTTTGGTGAACTGAGACTATATTCCACCATAGCAATCACATTTTGGGTGTGAGACCTACGACACTTTTTAAAGAACTAGAATTCCCACTGGTGCAATGCACTAGAAAGATTTTATCATAAATGATATAGAATATTGTAATTTTAAAAACATTAATCTATTTCATATTAATACAATGTCTCCTTAAAATTATTAAGCAAAAACTTTAACCTGTACTATTTTTTTTATTTATTTAGTATTAGTTACTTGTTATCTATTATTTTATTATGCTAGGATGGCAATAACATGGAAAGTATGCAAATGCAATTATATAGTAACTTAATAAAATCTAATGTATAAAAGTATATATGAAAGAAATAGGTCTCTCTCTTAATAAATGAAAAGGGCCATAGCTAACAAATTTTAATGGTGAGAAAATAAAATGGAACAATCAAAATTTTAATTGCAGTTTGATTTATTAAAAAAGTTTTAGATTTTTAATAAAATAAAATTTAAATCTTATTGATGTAAGTTCTATTCATGTGACATCATCTCATCACGTTAATTGCCTCTTGTCTCACTATACATTATTATATAAAATTTTATAAAATGAAAAAGCCAAAAAAGAAAAAGAATGAAAGAAATAGTTTACCCAAACGACGATAATTACATAATAAAAATAGTTATACCCTTGTGATGCATGGAACACATTAATTTTCTACTCAGTTCAAGAAAAATAAAGGGGAGGTATGAGACGTTTTAAGTTTAATTTAAAAATCTAGACAAATAGGATTATAACATTTGAATAAAGAGAAAATATATAGGAGAAAAATATATACAAAAATCAATTAAAAAATTTCAAACATATTTCTCTATTTTTTAAAATCTAACTCATCAAGATATAAATAATATATTAAAATGATGCCAAAAAAATTTGATGACACCTGTAACCCTTTTTTAATTTGCTAGCTTTGTGATATTTTAAAAATATTAATAACAACGTGCAATTCAAAGTTTAATCTCCCTTGCATGTTATACATATAATAAGCAACTTGTTTTATTTTATAATTTTTTTATTCTTATATATATTAAAAATATAAATAATAGCTGATTTCATTTTATAATCTTTCACTTTGTCCAATTTTTAGACATGATTAATGAGGTTTAAGATTTAATTTTCTTAATTTTGATAAAATTGACTAGAAGAGACTTATAAGTAGAATTGAATGTAATATATTAAAAAGTTTAACCTATTTTTTTTTCTAGAAATTGAACTCATTAAAATCTTTTCTCCTCTCTTTCTCTTTATATTACAACTAAATGCTAATATCATGTGCATCACATTGGTGTAAAATCTAGTTACAGAGCACATAATATTTTAAAACTGACACAGTTAATTATGAATATGTAATGTTAATAATTCATGAATAATATAGAATAAATGAATAAATTACTCTTTGAATTTTAAATCCGATAGCACCATAGACTCTAAGCTCATATATTGTGCAAATTATTTTCGTAACATTTGAAAAAAGGTACAATCTGATCCCTGTTGACTTTAATTGTTAATTGATTAGAAAATAATAAAAAAATCTTAAAATTATATAAAATGACCAAAAATTACAATAAATGACCCACAAATCATTTTTGGATCATTTTCTAATATTTTGCTCAATTAAAGGTTAAAATTAACTTTTGTTAACAGTAAAAGTTTGATTACATTGCTTTCAAAAATTAAAAAAATAATTTACACAATAAATGAGTTTAAGATTTATGGTATTATTGAATTTAAAGTTTAGAATATAATTTGCTCATTTATTGAATAATATAATATGAATAAATTTTGTAATTGATATTAATACTGCCAACTTAAAAAAATAAAGGAAAAAAAAAACTAACATGGGTGGGGTCTACTAAAATGTGTTAGTATATTTTAATATGGTAAATCAATATTTAATTTTGATTGAAAAATCTGCTTATATTTAATATTTAAATGTATTTTAAATAAAATTATTTGTAATAAGAGAACATATGAAGGGGGGAAAAATGAGGCAAGTGATGAGTGGGCCAGTGAGAAATTTCATCAGAAGGCACCATTGAGAAATTTTGTGAGAAGGCCAACAAAAAATTACGACGATACGAAATTATTATTTTGTTGAAAGCCTTTTTACGTGAGAATTTGGAGAGAATAGTAAGAGAGTGAAACTTGGAGGCAAGTGCGAATTGTACCATGTCCAGAACAGGGACATGCTGTTTGACAAAATCATCCATTTCTTCTACTGTTACAAAGTCAAGCAAGGCAAGTCGTCGGCGGTTCATTGGCTCCAAGCACCCCGCCCTCATCCACGTATCCACTTCCGGCCATTGCATGTCCCATCATCCATTAATTTCATATGAAAACTAAATAAATAAGTAAATTTAAAATATAAACAAATTTAATCTTAATCACAATTCGATTGTAATTAAAAAAAATAATTTTATAAAATGTTACATTTTAACTATTTAAAAATTGATCTGAGAAATTGAAAGGATCAGGGAGAAAGGAATAAAAAGAAGTGAAATTTGACTTGGTGACCCTCCCCACCTTATCTTCTTGTAGCATTTAATAAGATTGCCACGTGTCATGGAAATGGAGGGAGGAATAATCAATGGAATATCAATTGTGATCAACGTTGCTGGATTGGATATGCTCCAATGGCGAAAGTCCATGCTAACCACCGAGCTATTCGCTCCTTTGATGAGCCAAGCCACATGGCAACTACTTTACCGACTAATAACTTTGGTTTATATGACGTTTCAAATTATAAAATAATTTTAAAAAATTGATTATTCCAAAAATTTGAAAAAATTTAAAAATAAAATAAAATTTTATTAATAATATTTTTTATATTACTTTTAAAGTGAAAAGATAATACAGTGTAATGATTAAATGTGTAGAGAAATTTTTAAAAATTTATAATTTTATTTTTAAAAAACAAATTTATAAACTGTTACTATTGAATTTTTTAATGTACGTAATATTATTTAAAATAGTTTTATAATTTAAAAAGATGAAGTATCATTTTATCTTTATTTTTAATTATCTAGAACACATATAGGACTCAGATTTGTGTTTAGAACAAAGACAAGTTACTTGGAAGTAACCAAAAAAAAAAAAAGATAAGTCATAAATGGTGTATGATTGTTTCATAAATTTTATTCTATATGGATTTTTTTTGTTATTGATATATTATAATAACTTAATAAGTATTCCTTCTTGTCCTAATTATGTAAGACAAGTTTGGAAACGCTTTTTATACTAAATATAAAGCAAATATATAATATTTTTTTCAATATTGTCTCTTTAATTTCATTAAGTTATAAGTCTTAAACAAATTTTATAAATATTATCAATTACCAATTTTAGCAAAAGGAAAAATTGATAATTCAAACAAATTCTTTAAATTCAAGGATATATTTCTTAAAATTGTGAAATTTGTTAATTTTGTCCTATAATTAAGAGGGAGTATATAATGATCAAATTCTCAAATAGTAATGACACAAACAACTTAATTAAGAAATTATATATTAATGAAATTTTCATTACAAATTATGATAATAATAGAAAGTATAAAAAAATTATTCCATCACTTTTTTTTTCCAAATTTAATTTTTTTATTCCATTTTATATTGAATTACAGGTTACATATAAGGCACCAACGCACACACCCGCACCAGATGGCGCCAAACATTAAGATTTCAGAACCACCATGGTAATTTGATATTGGCAGTTGAATCAAAGAGATGAAGCCATGAAGGTAATCCTTCAAAAACTATTTGCGTTATAGCATTTGGGCTGGCAAATCATCATATAGTTCACGGTACAAATTCTCACCGAAATTTACTCGCGAGTCATATTCTCCATGTCGAGCAGTCGACTATAACCAGTCTTGCTGTTACCAGCTGATCCCATAACCGGTGTAGGACAGCATAATGAAATACACCGTTTATAGTAAGAAGCTAGTGCGATCCGGCAACCCAAGAATGAGGCATTCTGAACTAAAATCCATGAACCCCCAATTTTTTTTTTTTTTTTTAAAAAGTCAGAGAAAGGAAAATACGCTCTTGAACACAGGACTTGAACCTACTTCCTTCATTTTGCCTGCGGTCTCCAAAAAACCGCACTGTCTTCTGGCTTCACTTAAGCTCGACTTCTCTGCTTTCCGATTCTATACAAGTGCAATGCTTCTTCCTACTGCTATATGTGCAAAGCTGCTTGCATCTGGCGCTCGCTTGTGTCCTTTAAACACGGTACTTACTCTGTCTTCGCCACTGCAACCTTCAATTTGTTATGATCAACCGATTCCGTATATGAATTGAGTATGGTTCTCTTCTCGACAATGTTCGAGACATTACTCTCCATTTCCATTTCGGAAGCGGCATTGAGGGAATCAGATGGTTGTGTGAGACTAAATTCCTTTCTCTGGAAAATTGACAAATAAAAAAGCGTTTGTTATTTGCTTTATAATAACTTAAAAAGCGTTTCTTAAAATTTTTTTTTAAGAAACGCTTTTTATACTAAATATAAAGAAAATATATAATATTTTTTTTTCAATATTGTCTCTTTAATTTCATTAAGTTATAAGTCTTAAACAAATTTTATTAATATTATCAATTACCAATTTTAGCAAAAGGAAAAATTGATAATTCAAATAAATTCTTTAAATTCAAGGATATATTTCTTAAAAATTGTGAAATTTGTTAATTTTGTCCTATAATTAAGAGGGAGTATATAATGATCAAATTCTCAAATAGTAATGACACAAACAACTTAATTAAGAAATTATATATTAATGAAATTTTCATTACAAATTATGATAATAATAGAAAGTATAAAAAATTATTCCATCACTTTTTTTTTTCCAAATTTAATTTTTTTATTCCATTTTATATTGAATTACAGGTTACATATAAGGTACCAACGCACACACACCACACCACCAGATGGCGCCAAACATTAAGATTTCAGAACCACCATGGTAATTTGATATTGGCAGTTGAATCAAAGAGATGAAGCCATGAAGGTAATCCTTCAAAAACTATTTGCGTTATAGCATTTGGGCTGGCAAATCATCATATAGTTCACGGTACAAATTCTCACCGAAATTTACTCGCGAGTCATATTCTCCATGTCGAGCAGTCGACTATAACCAGTCTTGCTGTTACCAGCTGATCCCATAACCGGTGTAGGACAGCATAATGAAATACACCGTTTATAGTAAGAAGCTAGTGCGATCCGGCAACCCAAGAATGAGGCATTCTGAACTAAAATCCATGAACCCCCAATTTTTTTTTTTTTTAAAAAGTCAGAGAAAGGAAAATACGCTCTTGAACACAGGACTTGAACCTACTTCCTTCATTTTGCCTGCGGTCTCCAAAAAACCGCACTGTCTTCTTGCTTCACTTAAGCTCGACTTCTCTGCTTCCGATTCTATACAAGTGCAATGCTTCTTCCTACTGCTATGTGCAAAGCTGCTTGCATCTGGCGCTCGCTTGTTGTCCTTTAACACTGTACTTACTCTGTCTTCGCCACTGCAACCTTCAAATTTGTTATGATCAACCGATTCCGTATATGAAGTGAGTATGTTCTCTCCGACAATGTTCGAGACATTACTCTCCATTTCCATTTCGGAAGCGGCATTGAGGGAATCAGAATGGTTGTGTGAGACTAATTCCTTTCTCTGGAAAATTGACTCCTTGCAATCCAAATTACTAATCAGTGGGAAATCCTCGGATTTTCTTCGTATATGGTCGAAAATTGTTTGGCCAGTTGACGTTTCGTATGTTCTTGCTTCAGGTTCAGTGAGGACAACGCCTTCAACGACGAAATGATAAGGATAAAGATAAAACTTTTAGAGCAAAAGATGTTAATTAAATCATATGATAGTCAAACGTGCACCTGTGTCGATTGAGCTTCCAACTGTGTTATCTTCTGCCTTTCTGAGCCCCGCAGGAAAAGTAAACTCGGCTTGTGGTGATATGTTGAGTCTTTCTGTCTCATCATCCAAAACAATTACTTCATGATGGACTCCAGGTCTCTTCTCTCGGGCGCGCTTTCTTGTCAGAAGAAGGTCGACCTTTGGTGATGCGAGGCGAATATTATCATATGCAGACAGGAGAGAGAAGTTTTTGGCTTTCTCGCGTATGTGGTCAAATACTGTCTTCTCATTGATGATTTTGCATTCATCATCCTCATCCTCCTCAGGCGCACACCCACCTTCCGCACAGGTGAAAACGGGAAGAATTTTCTTATGTTACATAAAACCAATAAAATAAAAACATCTCTGAATTATGTCGTACCTTCTCCCAACTCTTCATCTAGGAGGTTAAAATTCGGACTGTAACAGAAGAGATAATTAGAAATAAGATATGGATAAAAAGGAATTAAGAAAAGAAGTTATCACAGATATCTCAAAGGAAGACGACTGACATGGAATCTGTTTCATCCTTAGACTTCAAATTGGATAGCTCTTCCGTTGGCTTTTGAGGTGCGATTATGTTGCCATCTTCAATAACATGTATCCCTTCGGGCGAGGGAAAAGCAGGGAGCTTTCTATTTCTTTGTAATTGCACATTTGATTTTCTCTCTTGGATCAAGGAAAGATTTTGGTGGACATCAATACCAACTGCACAAAAAGGAAAAAAAAAAAAAAAAACCCATAACTGCACTATCTAAAGAAAACAGATTTGAGATCATTCATAACGTGAATATACGGTGGACACAACTTACTATACTCTTCATATATAAAATCAGCTTTGATGATCTGCTTCCCACGTGAGATTGGGACAAGTATTGTCGCACTATAAGGGCTGCAACATGAAAGAAAATTCTCAGCCTCTAAATTTGCAGAAAATTGAAGTACAGATAGCAGTCGACTGTCCGATAGAAGGAGTTGTATATACTTTTCTCATCGACAAGCGTCCCTTGTACTCTATGCGGTTCTCGTTTTCAATTGTATCATTATCCACTAAACAAAATATGGTTAATGATCGTGACTTGCAAGCCAAAAGTATTTCATCCGACGTCAAATCACTGCTGCAATTTTTGGTGAAATAACTTTCGTAATTATTTTGCCTACTACTATAAAATGCATTTCATGCAGGGTATCAGTTGTTTGAATAATGCGTTAGAAGCTCCGAATTTTGAAATATGAATCTGCAGAAAGCTCCCAAAATAAAAATTCTTCCTATTCTCCATTGAAAGTATCTCGGCCCGGGATGCTCCACATTTTTAAAAGTTATTCCCCGCGAAAGGAGAATCAAGGATTTAAGTTTACATACCTGGTGAATTGATCCACCCTGCAGCAAAAATTTAGTGAGAGTTCAAAATGCATCCAGATGAGGAAGAACAATTAGCATGGGTAGTTGGGCACAGTATTATAGAGTCATCACCGTCAAAAGAGAGAATAAATGCTTGCGAGAAACCATTTAACATAGTGTAAATTATCTAGCATAGAACGTGACTCATACGTCATCACCTTATTTTTTCATGAAAGAGAATGCTGTTGTCTTCCTCAACACCAATGATCTGTAAGAAAGAAGTGTTAGCAAATGCACTAAACGTTTTCAAAAGATTTTTTATTTAAAAAAAAAAGAAAAAGAAAGAAAGAAAGAAAATTCCAGATTGCTCACCATATCAGCATAATGCCTTTTCACTGATTGGATTGACTCTGACTTCCTAGTCAGTGTAACCACTAGTTTGGACTTTCCTTGCTTCTGCCTCTCGGTTTCCTCAAGCTTCATATCAATTTTTGGAGGTAGCGATAAAAGAGAATCCTTGATATGGTTCCCAAATGGGTATTTTCGACCAGTTACTATCTCTATTCTCCTGGGATCAGCTTCAGCTAGTGCCTCAAATGATTTAATGCCCATTGAATGCAATGCCTGAATGGACAAGAAAAGCAGCCAATTAAAGGCTAGCAAATATGGATTTGCCATCATACTTTATCAATAATGTTACCTTCGCGGTAACCATGCCAATTCCAGGTAATTGTTTCAACAAGTATGGACTGTCATCCCAGAGTCTCTGGTCAAGTGATTTGGCTAGAAGGGAAGAATTCACAGCTCCTTTGTAATTCTTTTTGTAAATAAAATAATCTTTCATGCATTTAGCAATTCTACAATCCATTTGAGCATAAAGAATTCGTGTCCTGTAGCACCAAGTTCGCTGAATCACTAAGATATAAGTTGACATGCAGCGCAAAATAGAGGTTACTACTGCACCTGAATTAGGGATAGATCATGAACAGTGGGATCGCCTGTTAAGCAGTCATTTTGCCAAAATATAATTTTTTCTTCTCTTGTTTGAATGCGCTTTTTCTTTTTCCCTTGTCTCCAAGGATGTGAAACCGAAGCCGGCCATCTTTGTCAGCATTGATCTCATTCAAGATCTTCTTCTCATTGCGTCGAAGTTGTATCCCTTCAATTTCAAGTGCAGAATGTTGTCAAATGCTACATTGAATAAACTGTGTTCTACTGTATCATAATATTAGATCATCACAACTATACTCGTACAAGAGATTTCCTCAGCAAGACAAATAACACGAAGGGCATCTTCTAAAGTGCAGTTTTCAGGGGTTCGCATTATCTGTTTCATAGTGTTAAATCTCAAATAATACTTGTTGTCATCAGCCTTCCAGGCTCTGAAGAAAGGAAAAGGATAAAATCAGAAACTAATGAGACTTTAATCTTTTTATATATATGCAGCAGGAATAAGTCTTATAAGTCGAAGATTGATACCTAATGGCCTTAGAGAAAACCATCTTCATCACCCAGACCATTTGATGCTGTGATAACTCTTAACTTTTTTAACACACATATTTCTGATGTAAAATAGCTTCAATAATTAATCAAGGCAAATGGCAAGTAACCTCAATAGAAATGTCTGTGTCAGTGACAACGATAGACAGTAGTTAAAAATCTACAGAAAACAGGTAGATAATGACAATTGTACCTTGTACATGCTTCTCCAAACGATCGCCAGAAATTCCATTTTTAACAGCATATTTTTTTGGGTTCTGCTTGTGAAGGAAATAAAATTATCAAATAGGAGAAACTTTACATAAATTAATAGAAATCCTTGACTACATACCCTTCTCATTCTCACATACAAATAGGAACATTTCATCCAGTCAATTACTTTTGTGATATCAGATACCGTCAGTTGGACAATTTCCGCAGTCAAATGCTCCGTCACACATGAGAACAATCTATAGTAAAGAAAAAAATCAACCGGCTAATCAGAATAAGTGCTCGAGGTTTACAAATGGTCAAGGACACAAATCCATTCTGCAACTTAAAAGAGAGGTAGTCATGACTCATACTGTGATTCCACCATTCACAACCACTCAAGAGATTTTCGTACAGGTGGACCTGTAATGCAACAGAAAAACAAGAAGGCATACTTGGAAAGAGTTAATAGTTCCTGCTTCCAGAACAAAGAACAAAGAAGCAGTAAATAAAATCATGCAAGCCGACATCAAGCAATACAGACAAGTACAGCTTGTTTTTTTTTTTTTGGGGGTGGGGGGGGGGGGGAAGAGCATCACCGTTTCTCTTCTTGTCATGATTATAACCATGCCTGTATCATCAAATGGTGGTCGGCCTGCCCTGCCGCACATCTACACCATAAAAAGGTCAAGCAACTTTTTCCCTTTCAAGCTAAGATGAAGAAACGGAAGCAAATGCACGTATCTCGAACTAGTATTTTAATTTGGTTTGTGTGCCACTTCGATTTTGTCTATGAAATTTGTCCTACAGAAACCACTTTCTCAATTCAAGTAAACTTTGACAGTCATAGCTATTAGGCGGAGAAGTCACTTGCACATCTCAATCACTGGCTATTAGGTTATCCTGTATAGTATAACGCAATAGCGACAAGACCTCTTTGAGGTCATGAAACAGATCCTATGAGTGCAGATGTTACAAGGTAACATTGAAAGGCAATACTTGATTTAAATTAAGGACAAGTCTAACCTAGATACAAGTCTAATATCCATGGTTACTAAGTCCTTAGCCATTGGCAAGATTGTGCATAGAGAAAGTAAAATTATCAGAATGCATCTCAAGAAGCGCACCTGCAATATTGTAGAGCGGTCATATTCCATGTAGAGACCTTTTTCTTTGTTGCTGTAAATCATTGAAATTTAATAAATTAATAGCAAAAGATTTCTAGATATGCTCTGACGACGTGCACTTTAAAAAAGAAAGAAAATACTGTACAAGTGCTGTGTCGATTTTATAACCACTGTATGTGCTGGGAGATTGATTCCATGGGCAAGTGTATTTGTAGTGCAAAGTACTTGAATATCACCCTTGAGAAAAAGGCCTTCTACAAGATTCCGATCCTTTAGGCAAAGCCCACCATTGTGAAACCAACTACAAAGAAAAGCCATTCAGTCGATCCGGCTACCAACTCACATGGAAACTACCAACTATAAGCAAATCCCACATAACCCCCGATGGAGACTACAAAGGCAACTCACATTCACAATCATTGTTATCGCTTTGAACTGTCTTATATTTTATTATTTTACAAAGCTCATTTGCATACCACCATAATGGATGTATGATTGCAATTTGCTTGTCGCTGCATGATAGAGAAGCTTCCCTCAGTCGATCCTGCTGTTCTTTGTTCTTAATGAATGGATTCGAGTGACCAAAAGTCATGGCTATTTGAGAGAGTCGCTGAGCTGCTTCTTGTGCTCCTTTTCTTGTTGAACAAAATATAAGTGCAGATTTCCCTCTTGAGTATTGCATGAGAATATCTGGTAATCAATTGTACATATGAAACGATGAAATCCTTCAAATACTTTTCTCAGGCAGAGAGACCATGAAAGCTGTTAAATGGTTGGCTCAACTCTCCCTGCTTACCAAAAATATAGTTTTGAAGGCGCTGCATGGTGGCAAAACAATAAAATCAGACATTATGATTAGCTTAGTTGGTCAGATTGCTTTTTAATAAGAACATTTATTATCTTTTTTTTACAACACGAAACTGACCTTCTCAAATAGAAAGTCATTTTGGGCCGGGCATAGCCTGCGAAATGTAGTTGTAGAATCATGATTGATGATACCAAACATTTCTTACAACAACAAACAACAACACAACAAGCCTTTATCCCACTAGGGGGGTCGGCTATATGGATTGCAGACGCCATTGTGCTCTATCATTTATCAAGCTTTTAGAAACATTATAACGTCTATTGTCCATGTTCATGATAGATTCAACAAATTTTTTACATTGGCTGTTGATGGCCTAACACAACACCTCCTTCTTTACCCGGGCTTGGGACCGGCTATAAACATAGGCGGAGTTATACCAAACATTTCTTTACTTCCATAATTATGACATACAAATAAGAATTCATAAATGCCAACATAAATAATAATAATCGTAATAAGATCACAAGCTGCTATGATCTCCTTTTCCAAGAGAAAGGATTGTCACCCACTCGTAGAAATTACAAATGGAGATTAAATTATTGAAACTTTTTCACGAGTTTTTTTTAAAATTACATTAACATTTTCTATATTTCAAAATTTATTCCACCTTCTTGAAACAACAAGTTACTCTAACTTTAGTCTAATTTTAAACGTTTTAAATAAAATACCCTTTCTATTGGCCCACTCATAACTATCACAAAGGTAGATGAGAAAATAAAAATTGAACAAAAGAGTTTCTTTGTTCTTTTGGGTTATATACGAATGGTTTGAACAATTGATCTCTACTCATACCCCACCCCACACTTACCACCTGAGTTAGACCTAAATATATTTTAAACAAGGACTATATTTTAACAAAAAAGTATATTGAAAAGTTAAAGTGTATGTATATCATTTTAACAAAATCTAGAAGAGGCATGCATGATATACTCATATAAATAGAAGGAACTGATTTCAAGACTATTAGGTTCAGTTTTGGAAACATACCAAACACTTTAGTTGTCAACTTTACAGGCCTCATTTCTTCTCCAAACCTGTGAGCATTTAAAAGTCGGCTGATATTTCTCTGGTGTAACTTTATATTATTTTAAGCACCAGAGCACATGCTCATCCTATTGATGTGGAGGTTTAAAACCTACCTTTTGATCCCCTGGACAGGAACCATAAGCCACTCGGCTGCATTAGCGCAAATATGGCATAAGGATTTTCCCATTTATTACGATGTACATAATTCTTCAGACAGTATTAACTAAAACAAAAATTACCAAGATCCGCAATATTTGGAATAGTAGCAGAGACAGCTAGAAAGCGAGCTTGGGCGAGAGGATTTGATTTCAATTTAGGATTGCAAGAAACCATTTTTATTCTACTAACAATTGCTTCCAGAGCAGCTCCTCGTGGATCATTCAACAAATGAACTTCATCAAGGAGTAGCAGTGCGATGTCGCTGAAAAAGCTCAAGCCACCATCTTTTATACCATTACGTGATACTGCATCAAATTTCTATCCATAGGGAAAAAAAAAGATATGTTTTAACCATCTCCAGTAATAGCAATAAACCAACCCACTGCTTGTGCATGTCTGTGTATCTGCAGGTGCCCCAAATAAAGTAATTCACTAATGCTTTCCTCCCACAGTGTTGAGAATAGGTGCCATTAACTTCATAACTCAAGATGATATCGATTTGATAAGACTTAGGAAAAGTGTGCCAGAGAGTAATTTTCACTTAACTTGTATTTGCATACTGACCTCAGGGGTGGTCAGAATAATATCTGCTTCTTTGTATGTTCCTCAAATTGTAAGATTCATTGTCACCTGTCAGCTCCAGGCAATTGATTCCCAAGTGCCCAAACTTTTGATTCCAATCCCGAAGCTTCTCCTGTACCAAAGCCTTAGACGGGGCTATATAGACCTTGACACCATGTTTGAAAATCATAGAAGCAACAGTAAGCTACTTCTACACGGAGATCCACATGCTCATTAACCAGTAAACTTAACATCATTCACTATATGCAAAAGCTTAAGCCAATTTTCGAGCAAAATACAACTTTTAAGGAAAGATTCATTTGATCTATTAAGTTGACTCAAGGAGAACAAGAACTGAGCTCACAACAATTTTCTGTAGTTTATAAACTTGGAGTTATTTTTACTCTTTCTCAAAGGAGGAATGAGAGAATTGTACGGCAGCCGGTGCCACCGGGTAAAGGACTTACTGTTTTGAGAGTTCCATTTGCATGTATAAATCTCTCCTCTGTAGAAATGGACTTAGAGAGAAGCCTCAAAATGCAAAGCTCAAAGAGTACTGTTTTACCACTTCCAGTTGGCGCAGAAATTACCATATTTATATCGGAGTGGAAACAGTTAGGAAAGCATTCACTCTGGAGCGAGTTAAAAAACCTGCACGTACATTTAAACTCAATGGCTGATTACGAAAGCTAATCTTTCAAGTTTTTACGTATAGATGCAGATTATTTTCTGCGCTTACACCATTAGAGGTTTTATATTGTACATGCCAATTAAAATTGTATGTTATATCAGAGATAATAGATGAAAGATAACCATCTTTATTTTAAAAACTACATGTGATAATGGAATAAAAATTGGTAAAAGCTTATGCTGACTACAACTTTCAGAATAGCTAACATCATTCCATGTTTTAACTTGGTAGATGTTCCTAAGGAATAAAATATAGTACCTGAAACTAAAAGTTAGCGAAAAGGCACGGGTAAATCTGAAACAGACTTCAATGAATACGTATCCATAATCAGAACTACACAAACAAAATGAGCAAGAAATTATCAATTCTCAAGTACAGACTTTATTGTGGTTGAGTTAACTTGATCGATCCTAGACAAAAAGAAACGTCAGAACAGATGATCATGATCACGTGTAGAGGAATGAAACTGTATGCAGTCATGGTCATTGCAGATAAGAACCAGTGATTATTCCAAAAAATGAGGAAGAGACATCTTAGATAGAAGCCTAAAAACGGATAGAGTGTGCGAGGGAGGGAGAGGAGGAGGAGGAGGAGGAAGATAGGTCAATTATAAGGCAATAGAATCAGGTCTTCACCAAAATCCAAGAAGCTCCACGGTTAAGAAGCAAGGGAGATTCATCAAACAGTTTCAAGGCCAAATTAAAATGAAAATTCATAACAAGCAAGACAGTGAGACGGCGACCGACACGGTGGAAAACCACGCAGGGTAAGGTGACGCGGGGAACAAATTCAAAATTTAGATCATTCGAAGCCAGCTTGTACAAATCAATCTCACCGACTTTGGTAGAAGACAAAGCCCTAGCGTGGTTTAGACCTTCCAGAGAACAAGCACGCAGGACTGACCACGGTGGACCGCGTCCAACGGCGAGCTCGGCCACTCGTGGAATGCTTATTCGTCGACGACGAAAACGGCGGGAAATCCTTCCTCCACTGTGCTGGTGTCAGTTTCAATATATTTTTTATTTATCAAAACGTTAGTTTCAACATTATATAATCTTATATAGTTTATCTTTTTTATTCTTATATATTATAAAATATTTTTAAAAAATTACTGCTCTAAAGAATAGTGAATTAACAGTAATTATTGGATCGATCAAGATTTTTTAAATAAAAATTTCATTGCTTTTTCTCAACTTTTTTGTTACAATATATTTTTATTGTACCTATTTTTTTTATTTTGTTAAATATTAAATATGTTTGACTCAAATTACCACTATTTAAAAAAATTATAAGGAAGACATAATTTTAAATCCCTGAACTTTACTTTTATTTTTCTTTAGATTCCTGCATTTTTAATAATTTAAAATATTATACTTTTATTTTTTAATATTTTAGATTCTACACTTTATTCATATAGAGACCTAAAATATTAAAAAATAAAAATTTAAAAATTTAAAATATTAAAAAAATACAGAAATTTATAACAAAATGTAAATAAAATGTAAGATTTAAAATTATGTTTTCCTCTTTTTTATATTATATTTTGATACTATTATATTAACATATTTTTTATTTATATATTTTTAAATTATATTTTGATTTTTTATTGGTAATAAATTCAAAAATAAAATTAAGTATTTATATTTTTTTAGTATGCACAATGTAAATAATTTTGTAAAAAAAATTAATAAGTTTTTAACTAATTAATAATCTCCTCTTTATCGTAAAACACTAAAAAATGGCTTTTAGTTTTGGGGAATGACAACTAAAGGCCTCTCAAGAAATTTATCACGTGAAAATTAATTAATTTTATATCAATATTATTTTATAAAAACATGTATACGATTGTTGAAACTTAATTTTAAAGTTTGATTGTTTTTACATGACAATATTAAATACAAAATTAATAAACTTTTATTGCAACACATTTTCTTAAAAAGGTTTTAAATGTCATTTTCTTTCTTTCTTTTTTTTTTTTTATAAATACAGCTTCTTTTTCTTCTTTTCCTTCTTTTACATTTTTCATGTTCATATCTCTTTTCTGCTTTGTTTTAAAAAAAATTAAGTATTCTTGATCATGACTATTAACATTCACTAAATTTTTTTATTATATTCTCATAATACCATGTCAAAAAAAGAAAAAGAAAAGAAATAAGTGAATTTCACCCTTATCCCATATCAGATGTGACATTTTTTAATTTGGTTTACAATATAAAATTTACATCAAACCTATATATTATATAACACGACTCCAGGACAACAAAAAGCCATGTAATACGACTTGTTTTTGCTTTATAAATAAAAACACATGATAATGCTTGTGATTGCAACATTATACTATAATTATAAATATACTCCATTCAGTCCAGGTTATAGTCTGTTTTTTCATACATATTTAAAAAAAAAAAAAACGTAAGAAGTGAAAGAGGATGCCAAGTCCACCTTCAAATTCCAACCCTTATATCCAAAAGGGCTTGAGCCCATTGTAGAAGAAGCCAAGAAATTTCTGGGGTTCAAATAGTTAGTTACTTGCAATTAGGAAAGCCAATCTCTGAAGCCTTCTCCAGTAAATGGAAGAGGCCTCAGCTTCATCGCTCTGCAATGGCGTTCCAAATCTTCTGTCATCTTTCGTCGATGCCTTCGTTGACTTCTCAGTCAGCGGTCTCTTCCTCTTGCCGCCGCCGCCGGTAGAAAATCCTACCCTCGCTGCTGTGACGAGCCGTCTTCGTCTCTCTCTTCTTCTACGTTTTCTCCCTGCGTTGCAGACCCGCCTCCCTTCACCAGACCGTCTAATTGCCATTGGCGATCTCCATGGCGATCTTGAGAAATCCAAACAGGCTTTCCGACTTGCCAAGCTGATAGATGAGTCCGATCGTTGGATTGGAGGGTCCACCACTGTGGTCCAGATCGGGGATGTGCTGGACCGGGGAGGTGAAGAGCTTAAGATCCTCTATTTTCTCGAGAAATTGAAGCGCGAGGCAGCTAGAAGTGGTGGCGCCATCATTACCATGAATGGGAACCACGAGATATGAACGTGGACGGCGATTTCAGGTACGTCACCCAACCTGCTCTGGATGAATTTAAGGTATGGGCGGACTGGTTTTTGTTTGGGGAACAAATGAAGAGTCTTTGTCGAGGGCTGGAAAAGCCCAAAAATCCGTTTGACGGGATTCCCTCTGTTTTTCGCGGCGTTAGGGAAGAATTCTTTGACGGCTTTAAAGCCAGGATTGCTGCACTGCGGCCTAATGGTCCAATTTCGAGCCGGTTTTTTGTCGCAGAATCTGACTGTTTCTGGTTGTTGGAGATTCGATTTTTTGTTCACGGGGGTTATTGCCCGAACATGTTACGCTTGGATTGGAGCGGATTAATGAAGAAGTGAGGGATTGGATTAACGGGTGGTCAGGGAGACGTTCGCCTGCTTGTTGCCGGGGGAGGAATGGTGTGGTTTGGTCGAGGAGATTTTCGGATGAATTGGCTAGAAATTGTGATTGTTCCACGCTTGAGCATGTTCTCTCGCTACGATTCCTGGTGCGAAGAGAATGATCATGGGCCACACAATCCAAGAGGTTGGGATAAATGGTGTTTGTGATAACAGAGCTATCAGGATTGATGTAGGCATGTCAAAGGGTTGCATAAATGGTTTGCCTGAAGTGTTGGAGATAGAAGGGAAAAGGTCAGGATTGCGGATATTGACATCAAATCCTTTGTACCAGAACAACATATCTCCTGGCTTGGTTATAGAGAAAGAAGGCCGTGGATCGTTGCTTCCAGAACATCGACCACAGCAAGTGAGGTGAAAGCTAATAGCGTATAATTTTATATGATTTTTCTCAGCTTTGAGCTTTTCCTCAAGTGGCATTCCATGGCTTAAATATGGGTTCCCAGATTTCAAAATCGATCATATCTGCAGTCCAAAAGCTGGGGAAAAAATGGGAAATATCAATGAAGAAGGAGAAATGGTGTAACAAGAATATAGTCTATTTGCCTGCGATGATAACTGAGAAACCCTCCAAGTAATACTGCATTGCTACCTCAGGAATTTTTACTCTGAAGGTATTCCTTGCTTCTGTTCTCCAATCTTGTTGAACATGATTTCAACTGAAAAAAGCTCAAGGCTATTGCATCAACATGGTTTCAGACTAAATTTCCTTTCAACTTTGTCAGGGTGAATGGCCAGAATTAGTTGTTCAGAAATGAGAATGATGCCCCGCCAATTTGTAATGAATTTTTGTTTGAATTAAGAACACGGTCTAATATATAATAAATTTACACAGGAAGTCGCGTTGCTGACAGAGTTGCAGAAATCAGTGTATAGAGGACACGATTAATGCAATGGAGGTCTTTATAATTTACGGGCCATCACTTAGTTAATGATGATAAAACAAATAAATGTCATCCATCTAAATAATTGATATACGTTGAAAGGCATGGTGACTCCCCGTTGAAGAAACAACTCTGCTAAATTCTGTGATGCGGAAACTGAATGGTAACTATCGATAATCTGAAATTTTAGGCCATGTTATCTCATGGAAATAAAATCAAAAATTGTCTTACTAATTAAAAGAAAATTCAATTCATAAATTCAATCAAATCAATCTTTTAAAAATATAAATGAATTATGCCCCTTTTCATAACATGTATAACGTTAAGGAGATGTTTTAGTAGAACAAGATATTATAAAGTCAAATGCTTGACCATCATCATATTTGGACTAGGATTCCTCCTTAGCTTTAGATGTAGACTTAACTTCTTGTTTGGCCTTAGAATCCTTCAATTTAGAGGTTGATTTTGTCCCTCCAATTAAAAGTTGAAAATTTTTATCGTTTCTCCTGAAATATTTTCTCAATTCTTAATGGGCTTGTACACGAGCTATTCCTTTTTATAAAGTGTAAATTTGCATATTCATTTTGTCTCTAATTTTTGGCCCAAGTCCATTAATAGTTTGGGTCTTGGAAGCTTCATTAACTTCACGTACTCTGATTCACATCTTGAGTTAATCAAGCATATGTACATACTCCTTCACGATCAGTGAATCTTGGTTGAACAATTATAGCCTTGTTTTTAACTCCTTGTAGTAGTCAAGCATGTACTTGTTTCTCATGTGCTTCTTAAGCTTTTCCTAAGATTTTGGAAGCTATTTGTCAATGATTCAGAACTTCATTAACAAATCCTCCCAAAATATTAGTGCATAATTAGAAAATTGATAGGTAGTGATTTTTACCTTTTTTTTACTAGGCACGTCATTAGATTGTAAGATTTGCTTCATTTTAAGTTCTTAAACAAGATAAACATCTGGATTTGGATTACCTTTTAATAGTGGATATT